ATGAAGCCGAGATTAATAAAAAAAAAAAAAAAAAAGGATTGTAAGCCTAGAGCCACACTGCCATGCCCTGTGCTGTTTGCTGTTTCTAAAAGTCAGATTTAAAAAAATATTTTGTGCTTATATATCAGTATGTGGACTAAGCAGCCAGCACCAACAACAGGTGACTCACTATTGACTACAAGCACCTAAATGTGTCTAGCCTGGGTGCCAGACCGGTCCCTGCAGCCTCTCTCCCCCCTTCAATCTGGTGGTGGAATGTCCCTCAGCATCCTCACATCTAATACACTGTGTTAGACATGATAACTCTTTCCCTGAGATCAATCAACCCCACAGGGTCAGCAGAAGCTAGCGATGTTACAGGTTAGTTAATAAATGTGCACTGCAGTCGGGCAGGATCGAGGATCGGGTGAGTATAGCTTTCTTATTTTACACCCTACACCAAAACGAGCATTTAACCCTTGCAGTGCACATTTTTATTCTGCCCGGAGTTCTTCTTTAATGAACTAATTCTTGTGTACAAAATCAAATGACATAATCAGTGCAAAATGATCAAAAAGTATATCTCACAACTAAACAAAATGTAACCAAGTTATCAGTTCAATGATAAGTCCACTGTGTTAAAGTGAAATATGTGTTCCAGCATAAAAATTCCATATCTGTGCAATTAACTACAGTGCACATCAATTCACTCTCATGTGTTATCCACAGATATTCTTCCACATCAAATAAATGTACTGTACACTAAATGTACACTGTGCTTCCCCTATTGTAGGTGCAAGTGATCCTCCATGAAACAATGCTCACCTTGCTGTAGAGACCAAGACTAAAACATATTAGTATGGTCAGCTGTGCTTTTTTTTATCCTCAGGGGGTTAATCCTCTTCATGGTCAAGACTCGTTGTAGTGGTAATGTTCAATCTCCCACATAACTCAAAGTGAAAAACAACACATTGCATAAATCCATAAAAGACTTGTATTAAAATACATAAAAACAAAATCACATTTGCACATTCCTGTGTACACACAAAGTGCACATAGACCAGAGCTTAAATTGACACTAAACTCTGGAGTTAAATCCTTAAAATGCATTCAAGTACCTTAATTTTTAAAAAAAATGTTACTTATTTGTGTATCACTCGGCTGTAGATCCTCAAATCATCTCTGAATTGGTGCTGACACTGTCCTTCCTTTTGGAGGGGGGCTGCTTTTGTTCCCCATGTTCCTTGTGTGTGTTGTAAAGTAGCCACCGCTCCAAGCTCACTCCCATGATGGACTACAATCTCATGTTTAGTTTACTAATTTGCATTGACATTATAGTCTATCACGGGAGCAGGTTTGGAGAGGTGGCTACTTTACACCAATACCTATATGTTGCAGCCCCTGTCAGGATGCAGCCCCTGTCAGGCAATAATGAACTCCAGTATCCAGGATAATTTATGTTCTGATTTCATCCAATTGACATTCAGTTAAATGCTTCAAAATAGTTTTTTAAACATTAATATGAAATTGTCTGCAAAAATTGACAAGACATATTGGCTGATTCATAGAGGAATATATTATACTTTTGAATAAGCATGCATCTCTTCTGAGGAATGCAGAACATTAGAGTTCATTAGGTGTAGTTGATCCTCACTGGCTGATATGACCATAATACTCTCTGAAATTCAAACTTCCCTCCTCTGTGGCCTTGACCTAGTCATTTGATCTCAGTGGTTCCTGGCACCTTTATCATATAAGATATGAGCCAGTGACATACTATATGATCATTGCTATGTAAAATACTTGGAAGGATGCTTTAGAAATATTCTATGTAATCATTTCCATAGGAATGATTATGTTTGATGCATATTGGTTCCATACAGATATGAGATGTGTGTATACACACACACACACACACACACACACACACACACCCATTACCTCCAGTAGTCTCACCATACCTCCTAACTGTCTCCTCAGTTGTTCCTCTTTTTTGGTCTGATGTACAAATATCTATAAAAAGTTATTATTTATTCTGAAAACTTTCCCCTATGCCTCAGTTATTATTTGCTATTTCCAAAAGCTAGGATAAAGGAAAAGTAATGGGGGAAAAAAAATCTGTTTTATTTTTGTTACATCTTTGGGTAAAGGGCTATGGAGGGCAGGCTTTTATTCTGGATGTTGCCATCAGTGCCTAGGTGGCAAGATCACATTTATGATGCAATTAATACTTTTGGTAGAATTAAATTCTGCATATCATGTTGTATTCCCCAGTCTGAACGCTGCTACTCAGTGGGATTGCTACTAAGGAGAAGGTTTTTGGAAAATTCAAACATTTTCTTTGATGTTATAATTTTTATCGGGTAATGTCAATATGTAGCTAGTAGCCGATAGTAACATTGAACTATACTAAGCCTGATGTCAGATTGGCCATTCTGCGGCTAGAGACAAATCACCAATGGCAGAATCACTAAAGAGGTTGCCTGTCTGTCCCTATGGAATTGTTCCCTCTGTAATGGATGCAGTGAGATGTTGCTCTGTCACTGAATGCTGCTGAACCTTGATTGCTAGAGTTAGGAGCGACATCTCATTGCTTCAGCTATAGAAGTAGTGATTCCATAGGGACAAACAGGCAGCCTTTTAGCAATCCTGCCACTGGCAATTTCAACAGTTAACAGTCAACCATCTGACATCAGCCGTACTGTAACTGTATGTGACTAACTACTACTAGCTATACCATGACCTGGATAAAATACAACCATCCCAGACATTAATAAACACAATGAAGTGAGCATTAGTAAAGTGTTAAATATAATTATTTGTGTTATCTCTTCTTTCATGTAATAATTTGAAGCATGTCATCTTTATGTTGGCAATACATGAGAAATATGACCATTTGATATAACAATCATTTAAAAGAAAGGAACAAATCGATTGTATTAAACCATTGTTTTGATCATTGAACAATTGTTTTAATTGACAAAAGACAATCTTGTCTTGGTAGCTAAACCTAAATCAAATTTGACTAAATCAGATTTTTTTTTTTGTTCTGTCAAATGATCATGTCTGTGATCACATTTACTGCTATGTGTATGGCCAGCATCAGAGTCTGCAAATTGACTATTATTGAACTGTTTCTATTGTCTACCAGACGTACATAGGAAATGTGGTTATATCGGTAAACCCCTACAAGCAACTTACTATCTACACCCCAGAGAAGATAGAGGAGTACAGGAACAGCAATTTCTACCAGCTGAAGCCACACATGTAAGTGGGTAAAGGGAAATTAACATGGGTAAATAATACTCCAGCTAAAAAAAAAACCCTCAGGTATACTACACACCTGCTGCTTCATTACATTTCATTGTAGATTCTTGACTGTGAAATGGCAGGTATTATAGTGAGGACAATTTCAGTGCAGAGTTTGTCAACCAATGTAGTAAATGGTAATAACCAGCCTTTGCAAAATTGCTTTCTTTTAGTTTTGAGTAAAGTGCAGAAGGGTTACTATTACTTTTTCTGACTCCATTGGGAAGATTTCTGGTTCTTTTTTATCCCTATGACACCAGCACAGGAAATTAAAGGGACAGGGTTCACCAGAGAGGCACACAGAGGCAATAACACATCCCTATCCTACTAAAAAGGGTGTGTTGCTGTATCTCTCTCCACAGTAAAGATTTCCCATGCACCTGCCTCTAAGGTAAGTATAGACCTGTGTAAAACACAGCAAGGGAAGAACGTTGGTAGAGACACATGCCCTGGAATGTTTCAAAGTACGAAACGAAAAAGATAAGCAAATCTCAATCAATAGATTCTCTATTATCAGTTTGCTTTAGCAGCAAACATGTTTTTTTTTTTATTCTTTATTTATAAAGGAAGAGCAAGAGAGGCCATTATGCAAAAGAGAAAAATGAACAAACAGAAAGATGTATACAGAAACAACTTCTCCAATTCATCTCAAACTTAAGAGACTATACATACTGTAGTTCTTATCAAACCAATGGGGAAGATTAGGTGACTCCCGCTCCTTGCCTTTAGAGTTTTAGTTTGAGCTTCTGAATTTATCTAGCAGCAAACATTTTTTAACAGAAATGTTACATACACTTTACTTAAAGATGCATTGGTAGAAAACCACTCCAATTCGTGTGTGCTGCTCTGTCTACAGTAGCTCCATATGCTATCTTTAGTCCATCTATATATTCGTATACAGGATGTGATTTCAGCTATTAAAAGGTACATTTCCCACTGGACATACTCATCACAAAGTGATCAGCTGAGCAAGTGTTTAACATATGCTGTGCTAATCAACTTCACCTTTCCATCAGTTTATTTTGCAGATGTGCCTTTCGTTATAGCTACAGGTATAGTACAATGATATGCACAGTATAGTGAATATAATTAATTTTAATTAGTTACCAGCCTCAAGGGATCACTAGCTTATACTATATGTGTCTACTCAGCAGTCACGCTCACCCATTTATGCTAAAGGAAAAATGATTCAGCAAAGAGACGGCTCAAGCAACATGATGGGTGTAGACAGTATGATGCACTTCATGTACAGTCTCAAAGAAAGAAAGGAAACTGCACTCTTAGGCTGTTATTATGCAATACAGAATATATTACAATTTATCATTTAGGAGGGTTATTGACCTGTAAGTTGTGTTGGAAAAAACCCCCACACCTATGAAATGCCGATCAACATACATCTGCTGTATCAGGGGCGGATCCAGAGTCTAGTCTCGGGAAGGGCACTGCCAGAAATAAGCCCCCCCCAAATCTGGCTCTTCCATTGCCACTGTGCCCATCTCTCTCCAGAGTGCGGAGGTCAGTAAAGTGACGCAGAGCGCGGAGGCCAGTAAAGTGATGCAGAGCGCGGAGGCCAGTAAAGTGATGCAGAGCGCATAGGTCAGTAAATTGATGCAGTGTGCGGAGGTCAGTAATGTGACGCAGTGCGTGGAGGTCAGTAATGTGACGCTATGCGTGGAGGTCAGTAATGTGACGCAGTGCGGAGGTCAGTAAGGTGACGCAGTGCGGAAGCCAGTAAGATGACGCAGTGCGGAGCTCAGTAAGGTGACGCAGTGGGGAGGTCAGTAAGGTGAAGCAGTAAGTGGAGGTCAGTAATGTGATGCAGTGCGGAGGTCAGCAAGGTGACGCAGTGCGGAGGTCAGTAAGGTGACACAGTGCGGAGCTCAGTAAGGTGACGCAGTGGGAAGGTCAGTGGTGTAAGATAGAAAAGGGACTTACAGTGGTGATGTGCTCTGTCCTCATGCCCTCTTCTTCCTCTCCTGGTGGTGGTGGGGGGAGGGGAAGCATCAATGTCTCCTCCATGTGCAGCCCCAAGCAGCCTTGTTGTGCCTCCTCAGCAGGTCCCTTCCCGCTCTGCTGAAAAATACCCAGGCAGCCAATGACGGTGCTGCACTGTCCCTCCCAGCCAATAGCAGCAGAGGTGGGCGGAGAAACATAGGAGCCTGTACGACGATTCCTCTCCTCAGCGGCAGAGCCGAGCTGACTGGAGATTGTGCCTGCAGCAGCGGCAGCCGCTTCTCAGGGGAATCAGCGGGGGAGGGGGCATCGACGCCTATGATGCCCACACAGCGGCCGAGACATACAGCTGTCACAGAGTTTACTGTGGTTAAAAAACCGGCATAGTACTTGTAGTGTGCTGTTTTTTTACACTGAACCGCCGTTAACTCTTTGACAGTGACAGCTGTATGCCTTGGCCGCTGTGCGGGGATGTACTCCTGTCACTACTACTGCGGGTGGGAGCAGCTCTATCTCGGGGGGAGGGGGGCGGGACAATTGCCCCCCTGGATCCACCACTGTTCTGTACATAGGGATATAAACAGTCACTGATGAGATTGGTGGCCATATACCACATCAGCTCACAGGCTGAATGCATTCATAAAGGTCAGTGAATGTCTTAATAAGTTCTAAGATCAATACAGGTTGGTCAGTTCTTTATAATATACCAAAACTGACACTAACTGTACCTATAGACAATAACTGTCTGTCCAATGGATTAAGTGTGATCTGACGGGAACATCTTTTCTAATGAATGAGCACTAGGGCAAACATGCATGCTTTTTCCTTTGAATAGGGGAGTGCTGCAGGTGTGGCTTCTTGCAGAAGAAGGGAGCAGCAATTAGTAGGGAACAATCCCAGGCCGTGGTTGGTGTTGGGCTACAGACATATGAAGTTACGTAATGGGCCATGAAAGTGTGGACTGGGGTAACATTGTCTGACTTCTGTAGGTAACTTCAAATAGACTGTCTAACACGAACTTGGATGGATTCACATAGACATCCTTTGACACAGACTGGGATAAATGTACAGAAACCGACACTGACAAGCAAAGACTGGGAAGGATGGTCACCATATGACAGTGATAGACAGACAAACGTGGGTGAATTATTAGAAAATATCAGGCTACAGGGGTACAAAAAGCCCTAATAATTTTAAAATAAGTGAGGTTACTCTGATTTGAGTATACTTCGACACATTAAGAAAAGCATGTCCAATGATTTTTAATTCTTAATGCTTCACTGAGCATCCACCAGTCATCCCATCACAGATCATCACAGGCATCTTATTTCCCATAGTGTCAACAATGATATTTAGTATTTACATTTTTTATATCTGCATCTTAACATGTGGTATGATGTAAAAGTGGAGTATTTCTTTAAATGCAGTACTTTATCAGTGAATTTTCCATTTGTTTGTTACCTTGACTGTGCTGGAAGGAAGAAGAGTAGTATTATTTTTTTATGACAACAAAAATTTAGCTGTGATTAGACACATCAATTCTTGTAGGATTATTTGAAATAATTGAAGTACTCCAGGCTATTGGAGGGGTTGGTAGGCCAATTCTGAGTTATGATACAATTCTTGTAGCCATTTCAGTGAAGAAGGAAGATTGGCGTGACCACCAATCTTTACTCCCAGGCATTGTAAAAGAAAAACCCCCTTCCTCTCATGGTTGAAATTCCCAGAATAAAGGAATAATGTTATGTTGGTCTTGTAGTTGCTGTTGAATTACTAGGTTTCTGGCATATTGCCCAGGAAAAGGGGCACATGAGGCTTACCAGTTAACGTTCACTGTTTCAGCCACTGGCTATATCCATTATAGCTTGCATTACCTGCTCTCACACAGGCTAAGTGCTCAGAAACTGCAGCATCAATCTATAAAATGCGCTGCATAATTGCATTGTGATGTCTGGCCAGGACAGTCTGCCCTCATACCCCTGTGCATATATAGGAAGTTGCTGACGGCCCAGAAATTAACTCCACGCTTGCCAGAAGGGACAATGCAGATTTCTTAAGCACAGCTGTATACACAAAAGGCAAGAGTAATAAAAACAAAATACAGGTTCTGCAAGGAAAATCTCATCATTGGAGACCAGACATTTAAAGTATGATGCTTCCATGCTTCAGTGTATGCTTTGTATACAGGCCTATCTAGTAAGACAGCCCAGCACTAGCTAAACACTTGCTGACAGCTGTGTGAGGGACCCACTACAGGCTTCCTGCAGCAAACTACAGGAGGGGCGGATACAAGACCTGCCATTCTGTACAAGGAGAGAGAGCAACCGTGACTGGTCTTTATTACAGGAAGCTCCTACACAGAGGCAAAGTTTCACACTGGATTACTGCATAGATCTATTATAAAATAAAACAAAGCATACCAAAATTCAAGCAAGATTACACGTGGCTCCTGTATTTAGACAAGTAAAGTAAAAGAAAAAAAATGAGAAAAGAGCCCCCAGGAGCTTTCAGCCATAATGTGCTAGTATGTTCAGTCTTACCTGCCAAAGCGATTACCTCCAGCACTGTGATGCCAGCATTCTCCTTCCGTCTTCATCATCTTCCAGGATCAGAGTGTTTGTCCATATGCTGAGGAGCAGATAGGAGGATGTATGAAAGAAGAGACTAAAGATGGCCACACACTGTAATAGTTTCTTTGTTCAATCTACAAGCTGAACAAAGAAAATATAACAGATCCCTCCTTTAACGCTTCCGAGCATTGATCAAGGAATTTCCTGCTGTCTTCATTTTATTCTGACAGCAGAGCCCCGAACAGAGCTCATTGGCTGCCGGCTCTGTTTGTTCAAAGACTTTCTGAACGGGCCCCTTCAAACAGCTGATCAATGGATGTTGGCTGAAAGGGTGCCAACAGCGGCACCTAATGTGTGAATTTCAGCTGGTTCATCAAGAACCGGCCGAAATTCGCATAGTGTATGGTCAGCTTTAAATCGTCTCTTCTGTCATATTCAAGATGAACTCCAGGTATGTAAAAACTGCTTGTTTTTCTCTGGGGGACAAAATAAAGAAGACATGCTCACCTGATCATTGGTCCTGCTACGGTGTGTGCTCACCTCTGTCCTCCTCCTTTCTGGCTGTGGTATGTCCCTTAGTGTCCTCACTTCTAATACAAGTCAATGGACTACATTAGACGTGATGACGTCAGCAGGGCTTGGACAACCGGAGCCCAGGGGAGAAGAGGTTATGGGGACCAGTCTAGCAGCCAGGCGGGATCGGGTGAGTATATTTTTTTTATTTGAGCCCCCTAGAGAAAAAGAAGCAATTAACCCTTCCAGTGTGGGGGTAGCCCCACTGCAATGGTTAACTTTTTTTAATTCCTGGAGTTCCTCTTTAAGCCTGGCTGTTTGTATTTTCTTCAATATAACACTTCATTTCTAATTTATTTTTTTGGAAAAGTTGACACCTTTATAACAAAACTGAAACATCAGCTCCTCATGATGTTTATACATTTGCTTCACAGTTCTTCTGAAAAAACAATACCGGGTGCTCAATTCTGGCTAGGCGGCCTGTATTGTGCTTAGGAAGTTCTAGTGTCTGAGATGTTCAAGAGTAGACAAATGTTGGTTTACTGGAAATGGCCAATACATAGCGGTAATTGCATCAATACAGACAAAAAATAGATTCCAGTAAAATGTAAGTCCCAGATTTTCCATTTACTCTGGACTGTACTGCTGTCCTCGCTGTATATCAGATAGTCTGTGCATCAACATTACGCTTAGCATTTCCATTACAGGTGGACAAACTTCCATGTGCAACATTGTGTTTTTATTTGAATTTTCACTCGTAAAGCTGTACAATCTATAAAATGTTGCCTCTACTTATATCGCTGCAGTGACTGACTCCAGATTTATCAGTTCTGGAGCATCTGATATTAAAAGATTTCTGTGTGGCAAAGATACACATTACAAGTCTCAGGCTTCCCCGTTTTCTGTTGAATGCCACTGAGACCCAGTCAGTCATCCTGACACATTCTAATTTATGTTCGATCAGTGCCAGGAACACAAAATATACATAAAACGATCGTTGCAGATTTCTTTTTTCTTATTCAATCATCTTTATTGAAGGGTTTCAAAGGTTGTAGAAATAGATAGTAGAACTTATGCACATTAAAGGTACACAAAGGCAAGTAAGCTACAGTTGTGTGAAAAAGAAAGTACACCCTCTTGAAATGACATCGTTTTAAATATCGGCACATAATAAAAATCATCTGGTGCTTAGCAGGTCTAAAAATTAGGTAAATGCAGCCTCAGATGAACAACGATACATGACATATTACACCGTGTCATTATTTATTTTACAAACATAAAGCCAAAATGAAAAAGCCATGTGTGAAAAACTAAGTACACCTTACGATTCAATAGCTTGTAGAACCACCGTAGGCAGCAATAATTTCAAGTAATCGTTTTCTGACTTTATCAGTCTCTTGCATTGTTGTGGAGGAATTTTTCCACTCTCTTTTACAACATTGCTTCAGTTCATTGAGGTTTACAGGAATTTGTTTATGCACAGATCTCTTAAGGTCCCACCACAGCATTTTAATCGGGTTGAGGTCTGACTTTGACTGGGCCATCGTAGCACCTTGATTCTTTTCTTTTTCAACCATTCTGTTGTAGATTTGTTGGCATGCTTGTGTGCATTGTCCTGTGGCATGACCCAATTCCAGCCCAGCTTTAGCTTTTGATCAAATCAAGGGCATTTGATTAGCAGCACCTAACTGCTACTTTGTCTCTTCATTCCTATGGAAGCAGTAAGAGTGTATTTAGTTTTTCCATTTTTACTTTATGTTTATGATTAGAAAATAAATAATAGCACGGTGTAATATGTTATGTGTTCATCTGAAGTTGTATTTACCTAATTTTAAGACCTTCTAAGGACAATGCTTTTTATTATGTCTTGATACTTAAAACTAGAGAATTCAAAGAGGGTGTACTTTATTTTTCACACAACTGTACATAGGTTGCACTAGGTTGAACCTGGGTAGCATTCGGTGTACATAGCAACCTTAATGTAAAAGAAGCAGAGGAGAAGGAGGGAATAAAAGAGGGAAAATGCAGGGGAAACGTCTACAAGGTGAGTAGAGGGTGATCCCACCCAAACCTGAGATTTTATGTATAGAAGGAGCTTGGCTGGCAGAGCACTGGCTTTATATTTGTCTTGGATGCTCCAGTTGTGATACTTTTCATGTTCTATCACCTCCTATTGTATTATCCCCTCATTATGGCAACATTATGGCAGAATCTCTTCATTATGGCAACAGAAAATATGCAGACCAGGCTGCACAGATCTCTATTATAGAATTCCTGGGAAATAGAAGAAATTGTCAAGTAAGTTTGTTTAAATCTCCTACATCTACAAAAAGCTAAGTAAAAAACTATTTTGGGTAAAGTGACCTGTTAAACACATTACTTTACCAGGAATTATATTCCATGGATATTAGGCAATCCTTCATTACCCCATTGTCTGTGAACCAGAGTACTCATAACCTGCAAACCACCATATATAAATTGTCATTGTCATAGGGGTTGCTCTATGTACTCCTTGTGATTTGTATGTATTACATGCCATTAACAAGGCTGCATGCAGGGCTTGAATTTGACTGTTACTTCAGAGATGAAACAAAGATCAATTGCCCTTACTGCATCCATCTGTGTGGGCAAATTGTGGCCGCTTAACAGAAATGGAACACATATTAAAATTTCCATGACAACCAATGTTGGTACTGTGCACCTTATCTCACTGGCACTGCAATTATAAATGGGTACTTATTACTTAATAAGAGTAGAGTGTTATTTATGCTCAATGGCTGGAACTTATAAAGCATTTCTAATATCAATTGCTTTTTCTCTTGTTTACAGCTATGCAGTGGCTGATGAGGCATACAAGTCCCTGCGTGACCGTGACAAGGACCAATGTATCCTAATCACAGGGGAGAGCGGTGCTGGAAAAACTGGTAAAAACACTTTGGTGAAGACTTCACGTTTTTTATGTGCTCAGAAAATGTCCAGTCATGTTTGCCCTGTGTTCAAATCCAGATGGTGACATGGATTTGTTTAACCCTCTAAGCTTTAAGTAAAAATATTTAACCAGCCACGCCTTTTCTTTCACCTTGGCAGGCAAATGATATGATGTTGTATCTGTCAAAAAACAATGTTAATTATATTTCTTTATTTAATTATGTTTCCAATCACCCTCCTGTTTAGCTTCTAACAAGCTTATTGGCTAATATACAGTATGTTTCTCATCTGTCTACACAATTTTTGCTTAGTGTTCTCATTATTTAGTAGCCTAAATACCAGAGTAGCATAGTAATTAGGAATTTTTAATAGATGCGCATTTTGCACGCATTTATGGCTACACTAGAGTCTGTGGGCGACATGAGGTGCTGAAATCTGCCAAAATAATCGTGCGCATTTTTTTTGTGTGCGCATGAATACGCAGGTGTGAACAAGCCCCATAGGAATGCATTGCTTTTTATTTTTGCGCATTTACACGAGCATCTATGGGCACATAAAATGGCTAGGTGTAAACAGGGACTAATGGACATTAGCCCGTTAATAACCCCATTGTGTTATGTTATGCTGCCTTTGTCATTTTGCACAAATACAATTTACTAAATAAAGTCCCTTTCCTCTCACAGAGGCCAGTAAGCTGGTCATGTCTTATGTGGCAGCTGTGTGCGGAAAAGGAGAAGAAGTGAATCAAGTGAAAGAACAACTCTTGCAGTCAAATCCTGTTTTGGAAGGTAAGTAATACAATACTGTTAGAATACACAGGAGTTTTGGTTACTTTCATAGCAAGCATCTATTTAGGGATATTTTATTTATTAAAAATGTAGGAATAAAGCTGAAAGGAGAAATGCTGGCTAAGTAACCAAAGATTTAAAACTCCAGACAACAAACTAAATATGGTTTTACTTAAAGTGATACTAAACTCACGAGTTAAACATTAAACATACATTCAAGTACTGTAACTACAGTTTTAACTGAAATGTATCTTATTTGTGTATCACTCAGCTGTAGATCCTCAAATCATCTCTAAATTGGTGCTGACACTGTCCTTCCTTCTGGAGGGTGGCTACTTTTGTTCCCCATGGTCCCTGTGTGTGTTGTAAATTAGCCACCACTCCAAGCTCGCTTCTGTGATGGACTACAATCTTAGTTTACTCATTTGTATTTAGATTGTAGTCCATCACCGGAGCAAGCTTGGAGTGCGGGCTACTACACTACACAAATTTAGAGATGATTTGAGGATCTACGGCTGCGTGATACACAAATAAGATACATTTTTGTTAATAGTTAAGGTACGTGAATGTATTTTTAAGGTTCAACTCCCGAGTTTAGTGTCACTTTAACCAAGATTTGTAAGTCTGTCCAAGCACTCTTGTGATGTAGGCATCTGTTTCCGTTAGCATGTTCCCTTAGCTTAGTGAATATGGGGAAAATTCCCTTTGCAAAGAATACCCAGTCAAGGAAGATAAAATAGCAGAACGTACTGGCACTTGATTGGATGATGGAAGTCAGCAAAGCTTCACCTCATTCACTAAGCTAAGGGCAAATTCACCTGCAAAGTGAACAACGTATTTGACTTTAGTAAATGAAACCCATAGATTGATAAGAATGGAAAATTCCTACTTCCTATGTGTGACCTGTGACAGACAAGATGTAGAGATGTCACCAGCACACCAGAATCCTTTTAAGATAGCAGAATGTTCATTTATTTGAAGTCCCTCATCATATAAACAAGTGCTTTCGGGGCCGCGCAGGGTCCCTTCATCAAGCTCAGCATCATCAATGCCAAGCCTGATGAAGGGACCCTGCACGCCCCCAAAAGCACTTGTTTATATGGCAAGGAACTTCAAATAAATGATTATTCTGCTATCTTAAAAGGATTCTGGTGTGCTGGTGACATTTCTAAATTTTTCTGATATTTGCGGTGCTATCCGCAGTCACTGCGAGCACCCACCCCATTGCAAGGGACTTTCGTTAAGGAGTGCAGCAAGGCAAAGAAAAGTACCTGTGACAGACAAGAACCCTTCATTTTCCACTGAAAAGGGAATGTCTGCATAGCTATTAATGTACTGTGGTGTGGCAATTACCTATGACTGTCTGACTTTTTAAAATTATTATTTATTTTTTTACCTCAGCCTTTGGAAATGCAAAGACCATTCGAAATGATAACTCTTCCAGATTTGTAAGTTCAGTTCTGCCAAAATGTATTTTTAGTGGGCTTCTGTGATTTAATTTAGTACATTCTCCTCTTGTTTTTTAGCATGCCCATCTTGACTTAAAATCAAAGTGCCTGTCACAGAGTAGTAGACACTTTGTTGCAGTTATTTAACCATTTTACATTGCACAGAGTGCAAATATGTCCACTTTGGAAATTCAGCGGCAGTAAATGTTAAAAGGCTGAAAAATATTGCCTTATTTCCTGTTGTCCTCTGGCAGTGGTGCAGAAGAACACTAGCTCCACGATTTGCTGACTTGAGAGTTTCTCCACATGTACTGAATAGTGGATGTGCACGTAAAAAACAAATAATCAGATTCACTTATTATTAGCAAAGAAACTGTTTAGTGATGACAACGGAAAGATTGTCTTTATTGTCCCTGAAAAATAAATAGCCAGGGAAAATGATATTGATGTTGTTGCCGGGTTAAATGCTCCCAATCACAAGATTTCTTTGTAACATTTCCAGGGAAAATACATGGACATCGAATTTGACTTTAAAGGAGATCCTATGGGGGGAGTTATCAGTAATTGTAAGTATTTGTTGTATACATGTATGTTTACAGGTTTATATATATATATAAATATATACAGTAGATATATATATATATATATTAGCCTTTAGTATGGTTTAATGCTTTAAAGGTTTTTATGGTTATTGTAACGTCTCACTGTGTCCTGTGCTATACACATATAGTTCAGAACAATGTATGGATTCTTAAAAGCAAGAATGACATTAAATAATATAAGTCACAAATTCAAATCTAACTTTAAAACTGTAATTTAGCTAAATAGAAAACGCATAAATGGTGCTGGTGTTTGTCTATGGTAGCTTGCCTCTAATTCTATAGTTGTCTGCAAAGGCAGCTATAGCATAAGCCAATCAAAGAGTATACAAATGTTTTCAGAATAAAAAGATATATAATTAAAATACAGTGAATTACAATATATTTATTGGCACATTGCTTTGGCTGGACATCACCTTTAAGTACATAAGAAAGGGATATTATGGTAAAGGTTAGGCTGACCACACATTACAACACGCGCTCTTGTACTTTTAGTTGGCTTAGTGTTTTATTTCTCATGTTTTTATTGCATTAGTGGACTCAATGACACTTTTTTAGTTCTTTGGTATTGTTTTTCCTTGTTTGTCTCAGTCCTCATTATTCCGGGATAGACCACAGCAGGAAGTATCAGCTAATATCCGTCAGAGTGGGATGACAGTTATTTACAGCACATATTTCAAATATTGCTTGTTCATTCATTAAGTACTGGGTAACACAATGCATAAAAGAGATTGTGCATGTGGAGAAGGATGCAGACAGATTTTGTAAGTCCCAGCTGTGTCCTGTATTGTATAATGAAAGACTCATAGAGTTACCAAAGATTTCCTGGTAACACCGTTATTCCTTAACCTTTTCTCGCACTATATAATAACAATATGATTGTTATATTGTAAAGTAACTTTAGTAGATTTAGGCATTCTCCTTTTGTGCTGAGAATGCAGCCTTCTGACATTTATGTCCCCCTCATCAACTGCTATTCTACAACAGCTGGAAAACATGACCCAGGGGTAGGCAACCTTAGCACTTCAGCGGTTCTGGAACTATAAGTCTCATGAGGCATTGCAGCCACAAGCATGACTCCCAGAGACAGAGGCATTGTGGGATTTGCAGTTTCACCATAGCTGGAGTGCCAAGGTTGCCTACCACTGACATACAGTAACTGTTCAGGTGACTTCAGAAATGCTAAACGTGATCATTATGAAAGCTACATAAACTCGCATGGTCTTCCTGATAAAAGTTGTATGTTTTATGCAGACTTGCTGGAGAAATCTCGGGTGGTAAAACATGTCAAAGGAGAAAGGAGCTTTCATATATTTTACCAGCTGATTGCAGGAGGAGGAGCTGAACTTCTAGGTAAGGACCTTAAACCCAAAATAAGGACATTGTCCCTGTATCTCATTTACTAACACGTAGGAACATTCATTGGTATAGCAATTGGGTTGGCAGAATTAGCAAGCACTACGGGGTCAATCTTGATCATGTCCAATGCTAAACCTAATTAAAGCTACCCTGTCACATCGCTCTTGGTCTAAATGCAAAGATTAAGGCAGAATCTTCTGCATCCAACACACACCTGTGTGAGATAGATACCTGCTCCCCAATTGCGCATTGTCTTTCAATGTTCCAGCCCATATGTCACTACTTGTGATGTAGGGGCCAGCAGAAGAAACCCCAAAGCACAGAGGGGCACCAGGTATTCCACATGTGTGTTGGATACAATGGATTCCTAAGCAATCTTAGCGCTTTACAAGAGCGGAGACTGGTGGCGCAAATGGCGGAACAGGTAAATATTCATTATTTTCTTTGCTGGAAGGACTTTTTAATTTTGTTTTAATCTAGTAGCTGAGATGCATTATCGCCCTACCACAGGCAAATCTTTTTATTTTTGTTTCTGGGGAGTGAGGGAGCTTACACCCTCTGTCGGGTAGTTATTGTTGTCCGTGTCCCAATGGTGGAGATTTCTCATAATTTTCTGTGCTGGTGGAAGCGGCTCAGAGGGCAGAGAAGTGATATTTCTACTTTAAGAAAAGTGGCAAAAATAAAAGCACTATCTAGTAGAGTGGGGAAGGATTAAAACCTCTGTCAGGTTTATATTTCTGTGTCTTCCTGTTCCAGTAACATCCATTCAGGATACCTATACTTTTTTCAATGACCATTATTTTCAGCTGAGCCTAATGGGATTTAAAAATTGCAGTTACATGGCTAAATTAGAGGACCTCATATCAGTGACTCCCAACCGCGCTAGGACAGTAACTACAAATATGTTCACTTGGGTTTAAGTACTGGGAGGTCAGAAGCAAGGCAAAGTACAAGGGAAACTGCAGCTTTTTTTCAGACACTGAAGGCTTGAGCCATCTAGGTCAACCTCGCTACCCACTCAGTGACTGATACAAGGGTTACCTTTAATTCACTTTTTTTCAGTTTTAGCCATTTAAACCGTGTTCCATATAGGAGAACTAGTGTCCACACTGTCCACACACCTCTGTCCTTGAGCTTAGTACTTTGGTGGAAAACTCTCCTCTGCCCCAGCCAGGGCTAGTCTTGCTCCCCTGAAAGGGAGCCCACATCCTCAAACACTCACATTTGTGGACCATGTTTCTTTCTAGAAAAGTTCTTCCTCGTGTAATCCTACACTGTGCAACCACAGTGGCACACCCCACAACTCTTTAAATACCCTCAATCTGCGCAACCTAAATGACAAAAGGTTTCCAATAGTAACAACTGCAGTGGATTTTAGAAGGGTTTGAACTTCTGCCAATGGTTTTATTGCTGTCCATGCCTTGCATGTTGCCCATACCCTGGATGTCAAAGGACAGGAAGGGAGGGAACAGTTCCCCAATGGGGTCACAGACAGGTATTAAAATCTGTCTGGACTTAGTCTTTAAACAAAAACATAAATTATCAAATTTCACTGTTTTTTCCTGGGAAATCTTGATTAAAACCATTTTGCATATTTCTAAAACATATTTATTTCAACAAAAGTAGGAAAGATACAGAAAAGTTGATTTTGAAGCTAGATCCCAACAATTATATCTACATTGCTATTTACCTTGTCTAACCTTGGCAAAACTGAATAAAACCCAGGAAAAATGTAGTCATGGAAAGGGCACACCTAAAGTTTGATATTTCTGGTATTATTTAGTATTGCAGTGTACAGAGCAATCATGCAGTTTCCCTGAAAGCCACTTAGATATCAGGTTATTGTATACCAAGGGTAGCCAAACTTCAGCCATTGCAGGACTCTGACAGCCACTGGGATGACTACCAGAGTCAGATGCATGATGACATTTGTAGTTGCACCACAACTGGAGGGCTAAAGTTTGATCACCTCTGCTGTACACCAATGCACTCGGTTTAATGTCAATAAATAAACTAATAAACTTTCATTTCAATTTTATACTTTGATCATTTTTTTTCCTTGCTAGGAAAACTTAAGTTGCTTCCAGACTGCACCAACTATGTCTATCTAAATAAGGATTCCAGCTCTTTATCGGGGATGAATGATGCTGAAAACTTTCGAATTGTTAAGGTAGATTTTTTCTATGATTTTATGTTATTACATTTTTATGTTCATCTATCTGTATCTGAACCTTAATTGTTTACATATTATTAAAAGGAATTTTTAAAAAGATGGAAACCTTTAATCAGATGTACAACCCCGATTCCCAAAAAGGTTGTGACACTTTGTAAATTCTACAATAAAAACAGAATGCAATGATTTGCACATCTCATAAACTCATATTTATTCACAATAGAAAACAGAAAACATATCAGATGTTTAAACTGAGAAAATGTACCATTATAAGAAAATAACAAGGTAATTTTGATGTTGATGGCAGCAACACATCTCAAAAAAGTTGGGACAGGGCAACAAAAAGCTGGCAAAGTAGTTGGTATTAACAAGGAAGAGCTGGAAGAACATTTTGCTACTAATTAGGTTCATTGGCAATAAATCAGTAACATGATTGGGTATAAAAAGAGCATCTTAAAAAACTGTGACATGCGGTACCTTCCGTGCTGGGTGAGGCATTCCCCCATCCCGGCATTTTTCTTTCTTCTTGATTGGACAGCTGATCAATGGTGCTTTGCCATTGGTCCAAACCATCCACAAAGCTCAAACCTCTCACATAGAGTAAAGGTTGTTGCAGCTCTTGCTTCACTATGTTAGTTTACACAAAGCCTGCTGCTGTGTAACCTAACTTAGCTGTCAAAAGCCGGATGCAGCGCCGCCTGTAATTAACGGGCAGCGCTCCTTCCATGACGATTTACACAGCTGGGAAGCTTTCCCTGCTCTGTAACCTGTTACAAGCCACTCTGAATGGAGAAAAAGCTGTCAGCTTCAGACTTGAAGCTGACAGCTTTTTCCATCTTAATACTAGGCGAGGCCCTGCTACCCTGACTGCACGTCCCTGTTAGAAAGTCAGAGTGTCTCAGAAGTAAAGATGGGCAGAGGTTCACTAATCTGTGAAAAGCTGCCTTTAAAAATTGTTGAACAATTTCAGATTAATGCTCCCCAACGTAAAATTGCAAAGACTTTAAATATATCATCATCTACAGTACATAATATCAAAAGATTTTAAGAATCTGGAAAAATCTCTGTGCACAAGAGACAAGGCCGAAAAGCAATATTGGATGCCCGTGATATTCGGGCCCTCAGACGGCACTGCATTAAATACAGTCATGATTCTGTGATGGACATCACTGCATGGGCTCAGGAATACTTCAAAAAAATCAAATAAATATATGGGTTTATGAGATTTGCCAATTATTGCATTCTGTTTTTATGTAGATTTTTTTGGGAATTGGGGTTCTATCAGCACAATGGAGTCCCCAGCTCCTACAGTCTTCTTTTAAACAACGGTGGGGCGTTTTCTTTTGATGTAATTTACATTACCTGTGTATTATAATCCAACAATACAATTGTTGCAATGCATAATGTATTGTCTCTTTGCAAGATGGAGAAATGTGTAATTGTTGCTCTGTGTCTCGGGAAAACATAGCAAAGGGCTGATCATCTGTGATACTACATGAATGGGTCAGATATAGTTTTCTAAATAACTCCATGTAATTATCTATAAAGACCTCTGGGATTTTATACAGGCCATGTGTATTTACATTATTTACTAACTGATGATAATTATGTTTTTTAATAGGATGCCATGAAAGCTATTGGATTCCAAGATACTGAGGTTACTTCAATCCTGGAAATTGCTGCAGTTGTTCTAAAGCTGGGCAATATTGAGATAAAAGGACAATTTCAGGCTAATGGAATGGCCTCAAGCTACATCACTAATTCTCAGTGTGAGTTCTGACTGCTCCTAAATCTCTGTTCATGGCGATGTGCACTGACTTATTGAAACTCATTATGACACATGTATTTAGAGGCACATCATATACATGCATTCTTATATTACTGTTTTCCTCATTTATGAATTTCCCAGATGTTTACTATATGTGGTGGGAAGCACAGTGGCTTAGAAAATAACACTTCTTCCTTGCAGCAACGGGTTCTCTGGGTTGATTCCCAGCCAAGTGACTATCTGCCTGGTGTTTGCATGTTGTCTCTGTGCTTGACTGAGTTTCTTCCATGTACTCCCCTTTCCTTCTATACTCCAGATGCATGGTAGAAGGTTAATTGGCTCCTGTCTAAACTGGCCCTATTATGGATGCTTGAGAGTTAGGGACCATAGATTGTAAGCTCCGTGATGGCAGGAAAATATGTAACATACTGTGCAAATTGTCAGCGTTATATAAATGCCTGTAATAATAAAATGTGGAGGACCCTCAGAGTGCTAATTCAGAGTACAATAACTCATCTGAATTCACTTTGAATCCAACCTGTGCAAGGTAATGGTATGTGCTAGAGGGGATACTGTACTTTTCACTTTGCTCTTGGTTCTTGTATTGTTTCTTTGACTGAGCCTCAAAAAATGGCATAAAGCATTGCATGACACTTTATTCATGTCAGTTCCTTTTAGCTACAGTCCAGTTTCCAAAGCATGTGTGAAATACCCATCAGCATTTTTTAAGGTACCATTCTTGGGACACTACAAAGCCATGTCCACCTCCTAATAGTCCCTGCCACAGGGATCCCAGTTCAAACATCTGTCTTACTGGGTGCACGAGTCCTTTACAATATTCAATCACATTTGTAATGTGATAGGCTGTAGCCAAAATATAGTGTGTATATTAATGATTGTGACTTAATAAATACTATGATCCTATTTTCTAAATGCTGCTTGAAATTATTTTAGCAGCAAAATTAGGATGGAAATAATTGTATTTAACATATAATGCAATGTTGCCAAGAGCAGAGTAGATATGGTTTTGACTTTTTATCCTTTTCTGGTAGTTCCCTGCATACATTTATTGTACCTAGTAAAATAAGGAAGATGAGTTAGAACATAGAACGTTGTGAGATTCATGAACTGTTAGTATACTATATAAACTTGAAATGTTGTCCTGGTAATTCACTATTGCTGAATCTGGACTTCAATTACATTTTTCCCCTTTTTTTATCCAGATGTTAGAGAGATTGGCTCACTGATCGGCCTTGATGCTTCCATACTAGAAAATGCTTTCAGTGTGCGTACTGTGGAAGCCAGACAAGAAAAAGTGGTGACAACACTGGACGCAAGCCAGGTATGCAATAATGGTCTGAGAATTCAAAGTATGCTAAACCCAAAACTCTGTTGTTGGGGTTTTCTTGGATAGATTATTGAAGGGTCGAAGATCCTGTCAGATGTTTTTTTTTTGCTGTCTGTGTGCCACTGTGGAGATTTACATTCACTTTCTATCTTGTAGCTCTAACAATAATTGAGAGTAAATTTGCCTAAAATGAGGGAAACTCCTCTCTTAGACAGTTGTCACTGGAACAGGTGTCCCCGTTAACCATAAAATTTAGTATTTTCCATCACTTTCTGTCTTGCTAACAATGGTCGCCAGGGCAAATTAAGAGAGTAAATCTCCCTTCACAGACCATAATATTTAGATCGGCAGAGGTTCTAGTAATATTTCAACCTTCCTCCTGTAACCAAAATAAAATAAGATTTTGGGTCTAGATTCACTAAACTCATCTATATCATGCGTCATAGTATTAACTTAAACAATACTATAAACCTATGTAATTCTATATATCTACTGTATATCATGTATCAACATTCTACCATTGAAAGATCCCGGGTTTTTAACCAGTCACAAGGTCCATTTTAATGGATGTAATTGTGTTTGGTAACAATGTTGAGGCTTGTTATATACATTTTGTGTGGGTATGTCTTTCAATGTCCATATTAGCACATCAGCCAGAACCTAAAAAGCTCTTTGGTAGCTGCTGGTTTTATAGGCCTGTGTTACTAGATTCATTCTCAACCTTCCTGTGTCTCTGCTCGGGCTTGAGCCATCCATTCTGGAAGAGGAAATTCATAGTGCAGCCAGTTTAATTACATGCCAGTTAACCTACCTGTATGTTTTGGGACGAAACCCACACAAGCACGGAGAGAACATACAGAGGGGAATTTATGGAGGAGACAACATCTGGAGAAGTTGCCCAGATCAACCAATCAGCTTATCTCTTCAGTTTGTTTAGTTAAGCTTTGAAAATGAAAGGGAGAAGCTGATTGGTCGCCATGCACAGCTGCTTCAGATTTTGTATGCCCATGTTTTGATAAATTCCCCTCACTATGAAAATAGTGTCCCATGTAAGAACTGCAGGCAGGACCCAGGCATTGCAAGGGCTTTGTGCTAACCAAGCTACTACTCACACATCTTATTTATTTACTGCCTTTTTCCTTCCCATGGAAAATTTGCACTTGGAAGGTATTTTAGTACCATAAATGAACTCTTCATTTTATTATATCTTAATTGCTTGGGAAGAAAGTTCTTGGGTCACATTTGATATGGAAATGGTTACACATTATCATTACACATATAAGATATTATGGCTTAAAATACTGTCAAAGAAGTTGAATGTAGACCGGCAATGGACTACACTTAATTGACTACTTGTCATACCAATGCCAATTCTTATGAATATGTCTTTGTGCTTTAGGGAATTTATGCCCGGGATGCTCTAGCAAAGAACATGTATGACCGACTGTTTAGCTGGCTGGTACAGAGGATCAATGAAAGCATAAAGGTTTGTTTATTTAATTGTTTATTAAGATTCAGTTTTTTGTGTGCTTAAAAAAGATAAATAATGTAGTTAAACTTACATATGTCTTTCAGTCCTCGGTGCTTCAACAGCACCGGCTAATTCCAGTAAATAGTTAGGTTCACAGTCGCAGTGTAATTTAAACTTGTTAAAAGGACTTGTAGGCACCATGTCTCTTGTACAGTATTCCCCTTTATGTACATGAAACAGAGTAATTGCTCTTTCTGATAGATGTAGATGTTGGTTCTCTTGGACACTCCCACTGGTAGGCCCACCGCAGAGGCTACATGCTCTTTTTAGGTGTACTCAGCAGTCATCAAAGTGCCCGTGAGAATTAACAACTATATCCAAAATAAAGAATAGTTATTACATTACAAACACATTATTGAAGCTTCAACTGTCAACTGTAGCTTGTCTTAGGTGTGTGTGTGTGTGTGTGTGTGTGTGTGTGTGTGTGTGTGTGTGTGTGTGTGCATGTATGTATAAATATATATATATTTATATATATTCAGTATAATATATTCTGATGGTTACATATATCTTTGCCCTTAGGTGTCTGAATTACAGGGAAAGAAAGTGATGGGTGTGCTGGACATTTATGGCTTTGAAATATTAGAAGTAAGATTTTAAGACTTATTCTTTCCAATACAGTTATTTAGAAATGGGCCGTTTTATATACATGTGGTGACTTTTTATGCTATATGTAGTAAAAAAAAAAAAAAAATTCTTATTACATCATTTGGTTATGGTCCAATTGCATCTCCCTTCTCCCTTTTGTGGTTAGAATTGATACTTATGGAAGAACTTCTCAAGCACTATTTACTTCTAACATTGATACATAATTATATTCCAATCATATATAAACTACAACCCTCTTTTTGAAATAGACTTAGGGTATGTGTTGTGCCAGGGCTGTCTTAGGAAATACATAGAGAAAATTGAGTTTGCATTTATTTATGTGGCCACCTGTATTTATGTGGCCACTTGTCCTTCTTTGCTATGTGGGTCTGAACTAGGAAAAGACGCTCACCTGCTGTGCTGCAATGCAAGCTTCCAGTCACTTGATACGAATACACAGGAGATGATAGTCACTCAGTCCAGCCATTTTAGCAGGTTCAGATGAATATCTCTGGTCTTCAGGGAGAATCATTAATCTGGATGGTTAGAAAACATGTCCTGATTGCTACTGTTTCTCCCTGTAGCAATCAGTGCCAACAGTGTCTTCCAATTGTCCTTTTCTACTCTCAATACAATTTCCATTCACATGAACATTATAATGAGTTGTGGCTGATTCACTAAAGGGGTAGATGCTGTTCACTTTGCAAAGTGAATGATAGTAAATAGTGTAAACCTTTTTTTCACTTTGAATACCCAATCATGTGCGAGGGAAATAAAATAAAAAAACTAAATGATTGCTAGGACATAACTGGTTAAATGAAGTGAACATAGGTTATTTCCTAAGCTCAGTGAACATAGACTTTGCTAAGTGAACAATCTCTATCACGTTAGTAAATCAACCCTGTGGTGTTTGTCAAAGCACCAGCTGATTCTGCTGCCTCAGAATGGCCCAGTGTGCATATACAGAATGACCACCTCGACAGTCCATGAGCAAACCCTGCAATCGTTTACCTGCCATTTTCCATAAAGAAATGTGAGAAACACAATTTTTTTCAAAGGTGTCAGCCACTTTTTTCAAAAAGGTCCTTTCCAAATACGTGGATAAATTTTGTGTTTAATAATTTAAAAAGATTTTCTAAATGATTAAAATGTTTTTAGAGATTTTTCTTAAGAAAAGATGATTTACTCATACATGTGCCCGTTCATGCTCACTAGGGAAACGGGTTTGAACAATTCATTATCAATTATTGCAATGAGAAGCTTCAACAAATCTTCATTCAAATGACATTAAGAGAAGAACAAGAAGAGTACACAAGAGAGGTAAGTAGAAGTCTAGCTTTCAGTTTTATTTCTTATCTTACCTTTTAATACTTTCAGAAGATTAGAACATTTCATGAATCTGTGTATTAGGTAACTTTTTAGAGATATACTATTAAGTACATACTATGTATGAAGAGTACAAGCTGTTTCAGAAGTAGGGTATAGAGAGCCTACCCTAGTTGACATCTGAATACAATTCAGCGATTGTAAACAAACTTTAAAAAAAAAGAAAAACCTGGAGGCTAGTAAAGGCGGAGTTCCTATGCAAGTTTTAGGAGAGCATCATGCTTTCTATCATAGTATCATCAATTATCATATTCAAACATTAATTTTAAACAAATAAAGTGGTGTGAAGAACAATAAGCAATCCAAATAGTTTCTCATAATTCTGGTCAGAAAGTGATTTAAGAGCTATATGGCTGCCTGATCTATACATACTGGAAGAATGTAGTGACTGTACAGACATCAAACATGCACACGCCACCTAATCTCTTTCTCTTTGACATGCAGTGTGTCCCAGTATTTCCAATTCTTAAGTGCAAACCTCTTCAAAGTTAAACATTGGTGTTAGTTCTCATCATTTAAGCTTATAACGCCTTCATAAAGGTCCGAGTCAGGTAACATAGACTATCAGCTCTGAACAACAGTGTCTACTCAAGCCTGAAATTAAGTGACTATAAACTCAGGAGTTAAATCTTAAAAATGCATGCGCATACCTTAACTATTAACAAAAATGTATCTTATTTGTGTATCACTCGGCTGTAGATTCTCAAATCATCTCTGAATTGGTGCTGACAATGTCCTTCCTTCTGGAGGGTGGCTACTTTTGTTCCCCATGGTTCCTGTGTGTGCTGTAAAGTAGCAACTGCTCCAAGCTTGCTCCTGTGATGGACTACAATCTCAATAAAAAATACTAAACTAAACTGAGATTGTAGTCCATCACAGGAGTGAGCTTGGAGTGGTGGCTACTTTACAACACACACACATGACCATGGGGAGCAAAGGTAGCCACCCTCCAGAAGGAAGGACAGTGTCGGCACCTATTCAGAGATGATTTAAGGATCTACAGCCAAGTGACACACAAATAAGATACATTTTTGTTAGAAGTTAAAGTATTTGAATGCATTTTTAAGATTTAACTCCTGATTTAGTTTTAAATAGAGTTGGCCTTCAATCAAAGCCTGGAAACAGATTGTTGCATTGTAACTCATTAATAAAATGGTTATTTTAAGCATGGAATATCACTTATTAAAAAAAAAAACAGTGACACCTAATTATAAATTGAAATACACCATGCACTATAAACTAATTTTGTTTCTTTATTTTTCATTTTTCTTCTTAGGGAATCGAATGGACTCGTATTACCTTTTTTGACAATGAAATCATCTGTAATCTCATAGAGGATGTAAGCAGCATTTTTATTCTTATATATCACAAATAGGAACTCGGCTCTTCCTTGAAATTGATCATTTTTGTTTCTTACTTGGTTTTTACTCATCAACTATATTTCCCATTTAAATGTTATATTGGCTTGATGGGATTGACCGTTTGTTCTGATTACTGACCAAAAATCTTGCACTAATGTAACTCATATGTTCACAAAAGTTGAAATATTTCTTCTTTGTGAGTCGAGTGGAACAGTACCATTCTCCTCCAGGTCTTTACTATTTTCAAGGCTTGGTGTTGCCTTTTAGTCTTATCAGTAAAATTAAAATCTTGCACTGCTTTTTTTTTGTCATATCTGATGTTTTAATTATTCTCGTTAACAGTTAAATGATTAAAAAAATATTCAGCAGAATGTTATTAGGTAATATATATTTCTAGAAGGCTAGATGGAGAATACAGTAATACTTGATAGTATAAAATATTTTAAATTGAGAATTGTACATGATCTGTCCCCCTGCAGAATACCAATGGCATTTTAGCAGTGCTTGATGAAGAATGCCTGCGCCCAGGGAATGTCTCGGATGCCACCTTTCTAACCAAACTAGGAGTAAAATTCAAAAACCACAACCACTTCAAAAGCAAGGCTACACAGAATGAAAAACGTATCACTGACACCACATTGGCTGACAGCGCTTTCCGCATAGAACACTATGCTGGACAGGTAAGAATAGCTTCTGTTTGACTTTTGAGTAGGGCATATTCTTTCAAATGATTTCACATGTCTTTAGTTTTCCAAGCCACTTGTTAATGCAACAAATGACAAAATCATTTACAGGGCTATTTACTAAAGGGTGAAGCGTTTGGAGAAGGCAGGAGAAGTGAACAATCTAGGCCAAAATAGCTGAACTGGAAAAATTCTCCAATTCAGCTCACTTTCCGGTTCAGCTATGTTGTCCTAGATTGTTCACTTTTCCTGCCTTCTCCAAACTCTTTACCCTTTGGTGAATAGACCTGTTAATAAACGTTTGTAAACACAAAAAGGACTACTAAGCTTTGCGAGGACCAGTATTTAGTAATGACTAAATGACAAAGTAGATGAAGGATTATACTAAAGTATAAGGTGTATTTTTAAATTGTATCTAAAACTAAATCTTGATGATTACGTTTAGAGTAGGAAGGAAAGATTCACCCTCACTATTTGCCCTGGTGAACATTGTCACGAGGGCTAAAAGTGAGGGAAAATCTAAAATTTCAGCAATGGATGGGAAATCTTCCAATGGCAACAGCTGTTCCCTTTAAAGTAGCAAAGATCGAAGGCATGGACAGTGAGTCAGATATGTACAATAACTCTTCTTTTACAGGGTTTTTAAAAAAAAATCATTACAGAGTTGTTTTAACTAAGCTTGAAAAGGTTAAACTGTAAAAGTTTACGTTCTAATGAATCTAAGTCTTAAATCTACAAACTAATTATACTGTACAGGAAACACTGACATTGTACTCATTTAGAAAGTCCTCCTTGTTTCCTTTGGCCTACGTTTTTTTTATAATCATAGCATCTAGATTCAGATATGTATCACAATGCTTTTTTCACATGATTATGTAATCTATGGAGGCAGGTACCCAGAACAAGGGGCACATTACTTTAAAACAGGCCAATCAGCAGGTAGACCCCTGAGTGTGTTTAAAATGACTGGTGTGCAATTATAATATATGCACTGGATGTTTCTAGAAATGTTTCACCAAGAAGCGTTTAGTATACAAAATATTATGGCCTACAAACAAGCCATATACCAGTAAAGTATGCTTCTGGGGTATTAATATACTACAACACACATTAACATTTGTGCATCATCCCCATCAGTCATCTAAAAGCAAAATTTTGTATTTCTTTCATGAAAATGCCATCTTTTTATTATTATTATTATTATTACATAGTATTTATATAGCGCCAACAGTTTGCGCAGCGCTTTACAATATAAGGAAGACATTACAGTTACAATACAATTTAAGACAAGATGGTAAGGAGGGCCCTGCCCCTGAGGGCTTACAATCTAAAAGAGGAGGGGGAAATGATACATGAGGTAGCTGTGGGAATGAATTATGTGAGAATGTGAAGGTTCAGTGGTTAGGTTGAGGTGGGATAGGCTTCCCTGAAGAGCACCCATTACTTTTTAGAGGGAGATCCCATCATATCTATCAACATTGTTTCGACTTCTTTGCTCATTTGAACTCCTTACATTTCATAATCTCTAATTTTCATCATTATTAAATCTCTCCTAATTCTATGATTTTTCTCTCCTTCAGACTAATTTATTTATATTTTTTTTCGAACACCACTACCTTAGAACAAGCCATGACTTCTGAACATGTGCTCATTTCAATCATCCAATGATGTGCATAAGTCACTTTTTTAATTCCCCTGCACATTTGGGTTTGCTTTATTTTGCTTTACTTCTTTCTACAAAATAAAAAAAAATACATAACATCCGCTTAGGTATCTCTATTATTTTAATTCATAAACGTGAGACTCTCAAACAATAACTGTTCTGTACAGGTCACTTACAACACTGCTGGTTTTCTGGACAAAAACAACGACCTTCTCTTCAGAGATCTCTCCCAAGCCATGTGGAAGGCCAAACATGTGCTACTGAAATCTTTGTTCCCAGAAGGTGACCCAAAGAACTCCTCGCTGAAACGTCCACCCACTGTTGGCTTCCAGTTCAAAACCTCTGTGTCAACACTTATGAAGAATCTGTATGCCAAGAACCCCAACTATATTCGGTAACTAATTTCCCATACTTGGCTATCTATGGGTGGTTCTGGTGGGCAGAAATAGAAACACTTAAATTATGACAGCAGCTACTCACATTGTGCAACTGCACCAAGAATCAAGGCCCTACAATATTTAATAATAACATTGCTTGTTGCCTTTGTATTTTTAAACTGTATTTGTAATTGTGTTTATTCAGTTTTTGTGCTTGAATTAAAAATTAAAAATTCTATGTTTTCTGTGAAACAGATGTCTGAAACCCAACAACACAAAGAAACCATCTCTGTTTGATGATCAGCTTGTTAAGACACAGGTCAAGTATCTGGGTTTGCTGGAGAATGTCAGAGTTCGCCGTGCTGGATATGCTTATCGGCAGGTGTACAGTGCTTTCCTGAACAGATACAAGCTGCTGAGTAAACAAACATGGCCCCGTTGGGAAGGGGATCCAAGGTAAGGAAAGATTACTGCAGGGAGATATCATATATTTGAGATACAGTCCAAAGCGTTATAATCATAACATATTAAATAAGGAGGTTATTCACAAAGCTAGCTGAAGGATCAGCCATAGCTCCGGCTGATCCTTCGGCTTGCTTCAGCCACCTGAGCCCTTCAGTTCAGTAGAACCGAAGGGCTGCTGTACGGGCTATTCTCTACAGCCCATACAGCTCCTGAAGTTGGCCGAGCGGCTCGGTCGAGCCGAGGGCATATGGTTCGGCTTGACTGAGCCGAGGTGAAAGCCAAAGCAGGCCGGCTGAAAGACTGCTACTGACAGCTGGGCGAAGCCAGCCGTCATCTCACGGCTGGCTCCGGCCACTTGCAATGACAGATCAGCGCCCCCCTAGTTACCTGGTCACTAGGTAACCAAGGGACGCTGAATTGTCATTTCAATGAGAGCTTAGCAGAGCTTGCTGTTGTGGTGGAAGGGCTGTGGGGACTTAGAATTTATAATGAGGCCCTGAGATGTTAGAGGCTGAAAAACTAATGTTAAAAGGTAATTCCCTATACTAATGCCACCTTCCCTGACAAATCCTTACTACAGCACTGGTTTCTAGTAATGTACTGACTGCTGACAGCTCTACTGTTACATTTCCCTAATTTAGACAAACCTTATATTACAATCAAAATTATTTTATGATGTCCTTCTATCTGTAGTCACTTCCCTGATCTGTAAATAAATGTTTGAACTTTGCAAAAAGTTCCAAGGCGTGCTGGTGACATATAGTATATTACTTTATATGTGATGCCTCTCGACAGTTCTTGCTGACCAGCAATGTCTATTCCGGTATGGTGTGCAATGGGAAGATATTGATCGATTTGCAAAAGGATTTTGTTATTGGTACAACTTAGGGATGCACCGATACTAGTATCAGTATCGGTGCCGATACCGAGTATTTGGGTGAGTACTGGTACTCGCCCAAATGATCCGATACCTAGCACCAGTACTTCCTGTATCAGGAAGCCGGGCAGCGCATCATTACACGCTGCCCGGTTTCCTGATTGGCCAGGAAACGGCTGCATGCTCTCTCGTCAATTGTGATGAGAGAGCATGGAGCCGACTTCCCGGCCAATCAGGAAGCCGGGTAGCGTGCAATGACGCGCTGCCTGGCTTCTCGATTGGTCAGGAAGCTAGCAAATCTGGAAGCCGGGCGCCGTGTAATGACGCAGCGCCCGACATTCTGATTGGCCGGGAAGCCAGCGTCATGCTCCCTCGTCATCTCATGAATCATAATATTAAGAAAGTGACCTTAAAGCATTAGTTTGTATTGCTTTAGAAAAAATGTGACCTGTCCCTTTAAGAAAAAGTATCGGGGATTGGTATCTGCGAGTACTTGATCAAAAGTATCGGTACTCGTACTCGGTCTTAAAAAAGTGGTATCGGTGCATCCCTAGTACAGCTTAACTATACCCAGTTGTACCTGGAGTTCTACATTTAAACATTTGGGTAGTGTAGCAATGATTACCTCTGGTACACTTATTGCTGCCTCACTGGAAGAGGATATATGGTATATTAGAGAAGCTGTGTGATGGCGGTAGGGAGCTTTATTAACAGCCTTAGTTTTCAGAATTCAGTAGAATTTTTAAAATATTCTATGTATAGAAACAAGGTTTGTAAAACAATAACCCATATTGATAAGACTATCTAATGCATAGTGAATTATATATATTTTTACTAAAATGCATTGGTTTTTGTCGACTAATTGTACATTGTACAAGTTATGACTTTGTGTCAGACACCTTCTGTATAATAATGACCAACCCTTTTGAAAGTAGCTTTATTGTGGCCATTTTTTTTTTTATAACTATGCGTATTGCTGTTGTGTGTTGTGCCAGGGCGGGAACTGAAGCTTTGTTAAATGACCCAAATGTCAACATTTCAAAAGAAGAGCTTGCATATGGTCGAACCAAAATATTCATCAGGACTCCAGAATCAGTATGTTATTTTTCCATCCTTCCTTCTAGTAGGTAGAATACACTGATCATGTAAGGAAAAGTTAAGTGTAGTTTTAATAATTGTTTTGAGTTATTAGTGTATCGCTGTGATTTAACTTCTACATTTATACTTGCTCACTCTTGCACATTTTCATAATAGTATTTTATATTTAGGTTTGTAGATTCTTCCTCTAGTATATTGTCATATACAGTATAGTAGTCATATACAGTGAAACCAGCATCCTTGCTGAACAGCAAAAAGTCCATAAAAAAAAGACAGCTATTCCAACATTGTATTGTGTTCAGTGAACTGTTATTCCTAAACTTCCATAGAAAGAAATAGAGCACTCAAGGACAGTCACTTTAAAGTGCTACTAAATAAATTATACTATGGGGTCTTTTGGTTAAACAGTGGTCTTGCCTAACTGCTGCCCTATCATTGCTTTAAAAAAAAACACATTTGATGAGCATCAATATGCTTTAAAAATGCGCATAGCACTCCACTGGCTTCAGGACTCTAAAGTTAGCAAATTGCTATTACAATGAATCAGTAAAAAAAAAGAGGGGGAAGGGAGAACACGGTCACGTGACCTGTCAAGGTCCAATTACGTGGTTTCCCCTGTTGCTTTATGCAGAGAGTACTGTATTGGACACTGCAGGCTCCAAAACGCAAACTATGTTTTATAAATAGGACTAAAATGCAGACCACTGTGTGGAATAATATTGCAGTATATAGCGGAAAGATCCACTCTCTACTATAAATATCCTCCTATATAAACAAGATTTTAAAATCATTAACACACATTGATAGCATTATTTAAAGTAAATGAATGTATAGTATTTTGTACATATATTTCCCTTATTTATTATGTTTGGGATTAAATAATACAATTTTAAAAGATATTGTTTCATTTCTTTTAGTTTGGAAAATATGAAATAATGCATTTGAATTCTTTATATCTACTTATCTGTTATGTGACAGACTCCCTGCTCCCTGCATTCCTTTCTGGTCTGTTCAGAAGATCCCATTAGAGAGACAGCCACAGAGAGAGCAGTCATAGCTGGACTGTTACTTTAAAAAACTGCAAAACCTCTCTGCAAAACCAGTGTCGTAGGAGAACCTTGAATAATGTACTGTAAAAAAAGATTTTATATCAATAATATAAATTGTAACAAAAAAGCAAAACATCAGTTACAAATAAAACTGACCTAAGCATTGGGGTTTACCTTTATGCGAGTATAAAGGCCTTATCCATATCAGCAGTTACGTTTAAATCCATAGAACACAGGTTCATAGGGCACAGGGGTGACACTGAAGAATTGTATTTGTCCATAAATTGCTGTTAAAGTGTAGTGCTTCAGTCACATTCTATTCATATATAAATGCAGTCTTGTTATATAGCTATAAGCATACTTTTCATGTAAGTGTTTATGTCATTGGAATTAAAAAGGATTATGATATCTTTATAAAAACTGAGCTCAAGATATATATATTTTTTTTAGCTCTTTGACTTAGAAGAGAAGCGCAGGAAGAAGCTGAATGAATTGGCTGCCCTCATACAAGCCTTCTTCCGTGGTTGGAAGCTGCGTAAACAATTTTTGCTCATGCGACAGAGCGAGATCGTCATTGCTGCATTTTACAGAGGAAATCAGGTACATTTCTGCATCATTCAAGATGTTTTTTCTCTAGGAAGAGAAACAACTGAATATGAAAACTTAAAGGAGAACTATGAGGTGAGTGAAAAGCACTCACCTCATAGTTCTCCTTTAAGTTTTCTAGCCGACCTGTGACAATGAGACTCTCACAGGTCGGCTTAGTAGATCGGGAGGTGAGCGAACACATGCTGGGTTCGCTCACCTCTCGATCCTGTCACGGCTCTATGCCATGACAGGGGAGGGGCTGGATTCCCAGCTCCCCGCGCCGATCCGAGGAGGGGGTGGGTACAGCTGGCTCTGTCTCTAGATAGGCAGAGCCAGCTGTCACTCACGCAGCTGGGCGGATCCAGACATAATTGTCAGCTGCGGCGTCTCAGTATACCGCTAGCTAAAGCTCGCGGTATACTGAGCTTAGGGTGACGGGAGGATGCTAGTTTGTGTCCTCCCGTTACCCTAAGGAGAACTATGGGGAAAAGCCTTAACCCCATAGTTCTCCTTTAAAGCCCAACTTTTGTGTTTTATTTAAATTTGGCTTACAGGCATGGTATAAATAATAATAGAAAGTTACCACTCACCGGAATGTTTTCACTGAATTGGCTAAAGAGACAGTGATATACATCACTGCCTCCTTATAACAGAAGATTTGTACCGATCTTCAATAATATACACGAATATTGATCTTCAGCTATCAAACAGCTACATTATGAATGTTTTAAGTCCATTTACTTGCAGTAACGTCCCAGAAACATTCTCCTCAGGCATGGTCCTTTGCTCTGGTTCTTTAGAATTAATGGGGGTTAGTAGATTTTAAACTAAAAAAAGGTTTATTGCACAAAGCAATATGCGAGGAGGGTGAGGTGCGGATCGGGATATTCTATACTGGTTCTTAAGCATTAGACTAGGCCTCAATCTCTTCTACCGTGTTTCCCCCGAAAAATAAGACACTGTCTTATATTTTTTTTGGCTCAAAAAAACACACTGGGTCTTATTTTTGGGGTAGGTCTTTTTTTTTTTAATGTATAACAATCCAAAGTTAACTCAAATCCAAATATAATAATCCAAAATGGCAAAGTTAAGAATAGGGTGATCAGGGCAATCAGGGATGCCGTACCCTTCCAAGATCAATTTGGTAACCAGAATGAGCGAAGTGCGCTTTCACTCACAGATGGAGTCCATCTAGTATCACATCTGCCTGTGACAGGAGCCGGCGCTATAGAGGAAGCATCGGCTTATGCGGCTCTGCTCCCTGCGCATCATAGTTCTCCTTTAAGTTTTCTAGCCGACCTGTGACAATGAGACTCTCACAGGTCGGCTTAGTAGATCGGGAGGTGAGCGAACACATGCTGGGTTCGCTCACCTCTCGATCCTGTCACGGCTCTATGCCATGACAGGGGAGGGGCTGGATTCCCAGCTCCCCGCGCCGATCCGAGGAGGGGGTGGGTACAGCTGGCTCTGTCTCTAGATAGGCAGAGCCAGCTGTCACTCACGCAGCTGGGCGGATCCAGACATAATTGTCAGCTGCGGCGTCTCAGTATACCGCTAGCTAAAGCTCGCGGTATACTGAGCTTAGGGTGACGGGAGGATGCTAGTTTGTGTCCTCCCGTTACCCTAAGGAGAACTATGGGGAAAAGCCTTAACCCCATAGTTCTCCTTTAAAGCCCAACTTTTGTGTTTTATTTAAATTTGGCTTACAGGCATGGTATAAATAATAATAGAAAGTTACCACTCACCGGAATGTTTTCACTGAATTGGCTAAAGAGACAGTGATATACATCACTGCCTCCTTATAACAGAAGATTTGTACCGATCTTCAATAATATACACGAATATTGATCTTCAGCTATCAAACAGCTACATTATGAATGTTTTAAGTCCATTTACTTGCAGTAACGTCCCAGAAACATTCTCCTCAGGCATGGTCCTTTGCTCTGGTTCTTTAGAATTAATGGGGGTTAGTAGATTTTAAACTAAAAAAAGGTTTATTGCACAAAGCAATATGCGAGGAGGGTGAGGTGCGGATCGGGATATTCTATACTGGTTCTTAAGCATTAGACTAGGCCTCAATCTCTTCTACCGTGTTTCCCCCGAAAAATAAGACACTGTCTTATATTTTTTTTGGCTCAAAAAAACACACTGGGTCTTATTTTTGGGGTAGGTCTTTTTTTTTTTAATGTATAACAATCCAAAGTTAACTCAAATCCAAATATAATAATCCAAAATGGCAAAGTTAAGAATAGGGTGATCAGGGCAATCAGGGATGCCGTACCCTTCCAAGATCAATTTGGTAACCAGAATGAGCGAAGTGCGCTTTCACTCACAGATGGAGTCCATCTAGTATCACATCTGCCTGTGACAGGAGCCGGCGCTATAGAGGAAGCATCGGCTTATGCGGCTCTGCTCCCTGCGCTACCGCCTCGCTTCGTCCAGCGCTGACTTTGTTTTCACCACTAATTCTCTCCTGCGGCTCTTCAAGTTCCCCCTTATGCCACCACCGGCCCAGGGAATGGTCACAACTAGGTCTTATTTTCGGGGTAGGTCTTATATTTTAGCCATTCCCAAAAATGGTACTAGGTCTTAATTTCAGGGTAGGTCTTATTTTCAGGGAAACAGGGTAGCTGCCTCCTTAAAGTATCTACTAAAGTCTCTTATGGATAGCTTAAAATTACAGACTATAATTGCTGGACTCCTTCAACATTCAGGCCCTCTGGCAACTGAGTTTCAAGTTGTGTCTCAGTCTTAACTTCGAAGGAAGGAAAGCATAGCAAGGATACTGTGCCTACATTTTTCATATGTGCCTGGGCTGAAGACCTAGGAGAGACTGACCTCTAAGCTGACATTCTTACAGGGCAAAAGCCCTAGAGGGAAGAGACAGAAAAGGAAATGGCTCAGATATTTAATCTGTCAGCAGGTTCCGCAGGCCCACTGACTGTTCCATCAGATATCCATATCTCTCAAGCACACCCTGCTGGGGCAAGCTCAAATAACCTGTGGCAGAGAATTATACTGGAATTGAGGACTTAAAGGAAATGGTTGTACTGATCCCCTAAAGAGAAAGTGAAATCATTAGAATTATTCTACAATCCGATTGAAGTATTAGCGATTTATCCCTTGCTGAGACCTCTATGCCTGCCCTGTATAAGCAGATATAATCACTGCGGACAATCCTTATCAGATAGCTGAACTCACCAAATAACTTTTCCATCCACAAAGGTGCTTTATTCTGTACATCAGGATATAGCAAACAACAGGATACAGCAGATGAATGAATTGGCAGTATTTAAGGCGGTCAAAGATGATAATGTTTCTGAGCATGCAATGCAGATTAACATATCCTGTTACAAGCAGTCATGACACAAGAAATGACTATTGAAGAAGAAGGTGTAACAGGTGCACTCGATCACTCACCTGTTCCTCGTTCCAGGACTCCTCCCCCACTCCCTAGTTAAGGCTGAATGTTACACTTGCCTGACGTTCGAGCAAGTGTGAAGACGCCAGGCAAGTTCCTGTATCCCAGCACCGAACCTCTTCCTCTTATTGGGCCGGACAGAGCCCCTCCAAAACCACCAGCACATCCTGCTTTGACTTCCCTGCAATTCGGTCTCCACTACCTCCTTCATCCCCAGCTTCAGCAAGGACTATTACAATCTGGACTGCAGTTACTCTAAAGATCCACCGGAGGGCACCAACATTCTCCTTATCATTCCTATCAACTAAAATATCAGTAAGCATACCACAGACTGTGATTTCCAAATGCTTGCATATTGATAGAACTGTGCATAGGGATAACTTGATTGCTCCCATTGATTGTTGTCATCCTTCACCCCACTAATCTAAAAGGACTGCTCCCTACAATAAAACCTCATCTATTTTTCATGCTAAGTAATTGTTGCCTAACTCATTACCATAAGACTGTAAATTCACTGTGGTGTAGGATTGCACCCCCTCCTCATACTTCTGCAGCTGTGATCCTCCACCTAAAATAAGACCTGTGGGGTCTGGTTGTTACAGAAGGGCGGAGCATTACACACAAGGGAAATACATCATAGATGTGATGGAAGGGAACACAGAAAAACATGTGCAATAACCAAAATAACTACTAGTTGGCAGTATATGAACTTAGCCATAGAAAATCCATAAGTAAAGGAAAATAAACTATATACATTTTAATTTAACATTAAAGTGAATATTGACTGTGGCTGTGAATATAACTATTGTGGCAGCACAAGAATCATCCGTGCAGTGATGTTCCTCCATGTGTCCTCTGCACTTGGTCATGTGATCTGTGGTGTCATGTGAGCAAGTACAGAAGAGAGCAACACTTTGCTCTTTGTCAACCAAGAGCAGCTTTCTGCTCAGCACTGATCTACTGACCAGTATCTCATGCAGTTTGCCAAAGTAAGCGCTGATGCAGCCTGCAATAGAGGGTAGTAACACTCTCTTTTTACAGGGGCTAGACCTATTTGCGAAAGCCGCCACCGCTGTTCCTACACCATTGCAAGTGACTGACCTAAATAACCTTAAAAACCCAAGTTAGCCAATTGTGCTCCAGGGCTTAGGCACACCCATAAGGAGCTAGACAAAGTAAAATGACTAAAAAATTTGTAAGCGTATGTCTGACCTTATGTCTTTTTCCCCTTTTTATTGCAGCAAAGGAAAAATTATCAAAAGGTGCGGTACTCTGCTTTACTTTTGCAAGCCTTCATCCGAGGCTGGAGGGTAAGAGTCTTCTCACATGCCAACTTTAAATAGCGCAGAACATTTTTAATCAATACATAATTATCAATCAAGCACAAAAAATAAATATATGAAAAGTATGGAATGCAGGACTGATTTGTTGCATGCACATTTGATTGCTGTTGATTTGGTTTTTAGGCTCGTGTGTTGGTGAAATGCATGAAACTACAAAACTGCCAGGAAAAGGCAGCATCCACTATTTGTGCTTATTGGAGGGGGTTCAAGGTAATTCTGCATGATGATGGGGTGTAATAAATGTGCTGTAGGTTTGTTAAACATAATCAAAGAAAGGTTATTGGCAAGGATGGAATGGTACTATCACCAGTACAAGTAGGACAATTGTACTCCGCTTTGGTTTTTGTGGTGGTTTCCCAAGGGATACTACCTAATCAGGGAAGAAAGTGCTCTCTCCACCCCTCAATCCCCCTGTGCCCTCCTTGACATGCTTCTATTCTTCAAGTTCATGTAACAATGCTTCAATCAAATGTGTCTGAAGAAATGTGTGGAACTATGGACAAAAACAAAAGAGACAGGATAGTCTTAAATGAACATGTAGTTTTAAATAGACTTTTGGTAAGTGACCAATTAAAGCCTAACTCCAGCTATCATTTTGTAACCACTTAAAGACCGGGGTGTTAAACGCCCTCTCTGTCCAAGCCATTTTTCAGTATTCAGTGCTGCGGAACTTTGACATTTATTAATTTGCAACGCTGTGCCAAAACTAATTCTATATATTTTTTGGCAGAAATAGAGATTTCTGTTGGTGGTATTTAATCACCACTGGGGGGTTTTCTTTTTTACCAAATATTTTGAAAAAAACCCAGTTTTCGCTGCATTATGTTATAAAACATTTATTATTACCCAATTTTTTGGTAAAATATAAAAGACGGGGTCATGCCGAGTACATAAAAAACACGTCAAGCCTTAAAATTGCGTGCGCCTGTGAAATCGCAAAAGACTACCATACCCAAAATTGCCCATATGCGACTCTATAAAAGCTTTTACCGCTCATCAAATTAGTGTTAACATTATTAAAGTGATTGTCTGTACTCTGACATTCGCTGTGATATGTAACATGTGGCTCAATCATCGTTTTCACACTTATGCGCACCCAACGCATGTTTACATTTGTATGTGCGTGTATGTGGGGGCATTAAAAAATGCATAAAACATTAAAAAAACAAAACAATGTGTGAATTTTTATATTTTCATGTATTTTTTATATGAGAGTTTAATTTTTTTTACACTTAACTTATTGCTAGCACATAGGGGGTAACAAGCACCCAATGTGACAGGACAGATACAGTGACAGGTCCTCTTTAGGGAGCCATCAGGGGTCTTATGGCAAAGAAGCAGAGATCTGATTCACCAGCTTCTTCTTCGGCTACAGCAGCCAGAGAAATGACATCCTGAAACTGGAAGTGATGTAATACACATCACTTCCAGGTCCAGTGACCGGAGGGGAGCTCAGCTGGTAAAAGTGTGCTGATCTCCCTTCGATCCAGCCACAGAGACCCGCTGTGCTGGTCCTGGGCGGGCACGGAGGACAGCAGAGCCAGGGATAGCCTTGGTGGCGGATGGGAGTAGGGGTGCACACTCTCCAACACCTACGCCTATATGCAGCAGTCTTTGTTGGCTGTAAACAATGTGTATGGTTTCCCGCTGGGTGTCGAGAAAGGACATTTAATAACTCGCACCTGCCATCAAGAGGTTGCTCCCCTCCCTTTTAATTACAATTGGCTGGATGGCAAGTGGTGTAGCAGATACAGCTACACCACTTGTTCTTTCCTCATGGCTAAAAGTTGACTGTTGTAAAAGCATCTGTTAAATGATTTGTCCCAACCCCCGTAACCTATTTTATACATGGTATTTACCTGTAAAAGCCTTGTTTGGGTAGACATCCAAAAGCGCTGAGACTGCTGCTGGGTGCCACCATCTTGGATGCGGTATCAGCAGCCCTAGCAAACTCGTATCTGTCACTCAAATTAAACTCCATAATACTCCCCATCATTCTTGCCCCAGCTACTACATTAGAGGTTATGTAGGGAGGTGAAGTGGTGAGGGGGAGGAGCTGGATCAGCACAGACAGTAATTAGACACCCCTAGAAGAGAAGAGGGCTTTGACATGCCAGGGGGGAGTGTCTGTGCTGCGGAAATGACTAGTTATTTTTCTAGCAATATCAAAGGCACAGTGCAAGTGAATAAAAAAATATTTATCGAAAGGAGAAACACTGCAAGCAAGAATGTAAAATACCGTGCTTTTATCTGCAATTTCGTAAGTTGACGGCAAGGTTTCTTTAATGTATGACAATTTACCTTTGTGAGGAAGGCAAAGGCATATTTACATAGTTTTAATTACAGGTGCGGAAGGAATACAGGAAACAATTCCGCTCTTCTTCATCAAAAATGTTGGCAAACTTCATCTACAGGAGAATTGTGAGTTCTTGATACTTATACATCTGATGCTAGTCTTCCATTACAACTCCTTTGCTTAGGTCCTTTCCCGTTATGTTTTCATCCCGGTGTTCTTCCAATTCTGCAGTCACTTGATTAGCCAGAGTTACTTCTTGGCATGCTGAGCCTGTGCATTGAGCTGCCCATGCTTGGCTTAGTGTACAGGGCAAAAAACTAATTGCTGACAGGCAGCAGAAAGCTTTTATGGCAGAAGGGACAAACACAGTAGATTCAGTCAAAAAAAGAAGCTGCCAATAGGCAATTTTTAATTTTTTAACTTAAATTCCACTTCTCCATTCAGAAGATGGCACAGTTTTTCTCTATAATGAAGTTGGCAGAACCAAACCTTTTTCCCATCTGCAGCTAGGTTAGTGGCCTATGCCAAATACATTCATCGGCCTCTTTATTAGGTATACCTGTTCAATTGCCAATCACATGGCAGCAACTAAATGCATTTAGGCATCTAGATGTGGTGAAGACGATCTGCTGAAGTTCAAAACGAGCATCAGAGTGGGGAAGAAAGGGGATTTAAGTGACTTTGAACGTGGCATAGTTGTTGGTGCCAGACGGGCTGGTCTGGGTATTTCAGAAACTGCTGATCTACTGGGATTTTCATGCACAACCATCTCTAGGGTTTACAGAGAATGATCAGAAAAAGAGAAAATATCCAGTGAGCGGCAGTTGTGTGGATGAAAATGCCTTGTTGATGTCAGAGGTCAGAGGAGAATGGGCAGACTGGTTCGAGATGATAGAAAGGCAACAGTAACTCAAATAAGCACTCGTTACATCCGAGGTATGCAGAATACCATCTCTGAACGCACAACACGACGAACCTTGAAGCAGATGGGCTACAGCAGCAGAAGACCACACCGGGTGCCACTCTTGTCAGCTAAGAACAGGAAATGGAGGCTACAATTTGCACATGCTCACCAAAATTGGACAATAGAAGATTAGAAAAATGTTGCCTAATCTGATGAGTCTTGATTTCAGCGGCGACATTCAGATGGTAGGGTCAGAATTTGGCGTAAACAACATTAAAGCATAAACCCATCCTGCTTTGTATCAACGGTTCAGGCTGGTGGTGGTAGTGTAATGGAGTGGGCGATATTTTCTTGGCACACTTTGGGCCCGTAATGCTATCATGTCAATATGGACCAGAATCTCTGAGGAATGTTTCCAACACCTTTGTTGAATCTATGCCACGAAGAATTAGGTCAGTTCTGAAGGCAAAAAGGGGTCCAACCCGGTACTAGCATGGTCTACCTAATAAAGTGGTCGGTGAGTGTATATAAGTATTCCTTCCTTAGCGTATTAACTGGCTTCTTTGTCTAATGTAGCCTTTCTCAACCATGGGATGCCTCCTGGCTTTGTCAGGGGTGCCTTTACATTTTCACTAAAGGGGGACTATGATGTGAAGGGGGCTGCTCATGTGAACGGGAGATCTGATGTGAAAAAGGTTGTCTCTGATCTGAAGGAGGAGAAACCAGGTTGTTTTTTTTTATATGTTATTTTGCCTCCTAAAATCCATACCAGACCCTCTCCTAGGATAAGGGCTTGGTATTGATGTTTCTTTTTTTTTTGGGGGGGGGGGGAAGTAATTTTTTTCATTTACCTTTTCTTCACATTTTACACTTGGGTGCCTAGAGATTTTGCATACTTTGAAAAGGTGCCATGACTGACAAAAAGTTGAGAAACATTGGTCTAACGTGACTGACACCTCACTTCATTTCTCAGCAGCCATTAATGGAGATTTTTTTCATTGTGAAAATGTGAGTGGACAAGCAGTCAAAGGCATCTAAGATCCACGTGGTGAAACAAATCAGCAAGCACTGAGGTTCACTGTAACTTTATTTATAATAAGAAGGCTTATCTTAGGGTTTTAGGTATGTAAATTGAGCCCATTGTCACTAATATTGAAACATTTATGAAGTGCAAGCTGTTTACAGTCTACCATTATACTGAATAGAAATAAGCCTCACTTCCTGTCTATTAGCTGTTTCAGTCTGCCATAGCATAAAGGACTACTTGATGCATTAATCATTTACAGGTAAATTCTGTAAGAATGTTTTCATTTCTTAAAAGTTAATACCTTTCCACAGCTTCAAAAGTATTTCCTTGGATTGAAAGGCAACCTTCCCTCTATGTCACCAACAAACAAAACATGGACAGAGCCAAAATATAAATTTCTCATTCCTATAAATCAAGAACTGATGAGGGTATTCCACCAATGGAAGGTTAGTGATTATATGTCATCATATCTGTGTTACATGTCTTACCAAACATAAGTGGAGTTATGCTCTGCTCATTAGAGTAAACTCTCAATTAGGGAACATTCACGTGAAAATGCCATTGTACACAAGTGCTGAGAATCACTGCACCTAAAACTGATATGTCGACTTTGAAAGGTCATATATTGATGAAATAATGCACCTTCTCCTTTTATCGCCTAAAGATTCCAGTACTAAAATGTTTCTGATAGTCCTCATTCCCAAAATGAAATTGCCACTCTCTCATTAGGGATTAAATCAAAAGAGAAATATACCATCATTTGATTTTGTACAGGCTGCAGAAGTTCAACATGACTGATAACTCTGGTGCAGTGATGATTGGGTTGATTTACTAAAGGCAAATAGGCTGTTTTCTTTGGAAGGGAATTTCTCCTTAGCTTAGTGTGTGTGGCAAAATTCACTTTGCAAAGAATTCACAATCATGTGCAAGGAAAATAAACAAAACCATATTTTTGTTTGCACATGATTGGATGATGGAAGTCAACAGAACTTCACCTCATTCACTAAGCTAAAGTAAACTGCCTATTTGCCTTTAGTAAATCAACCCCTTAATGTGCAATAGAAAGGGCTCAATGGAATGCCCATTGACCCTGCATAAAAGGGAGTCTAGACTAAAGTATGGCATTTTAAAAGGCTGTTATGCATTTTAAGGCTATGTTCACACCATGTCCGGACCAGATCTGGAGCAGCATTTGTACCGCGATTTTGCTGCGTTTTTGTGTGTGCTTAAAATGTGCTTTCAGGTGCAGTCCAGTGCGTTTGTATGCATTTCCATGCTTTCCAGTGCATTCCAGAGCAGATAAAATGAGACCATAATGGACTGTGCTGGTGTGAACAGAGCCCAGAAATACCATAGGGATACAATGGGATGCTTTTTTGGTCCGGGAACAAACTGTTCTGGTCTGGACATGGTGTGAACAAGTTAAGTGAGACTAAACTCAGGTTGTAAATCTTAAAAATGCATTCAAGTACCTTAACTATAAACATAAATGTATTACTTATTTGAGTATCACTCAGCTGTAGATCTTCAAATCATCTCTGATTTGGTGCTGACAGTGTCCTTCCTTCTGGAGGGTAGCTACTTTTGTTTCCCATGGGTCCCTATGTATGTTATAGACAACAATCTAAGCTCACTCCCATAATGGACTACAATCTCACGTTTAGCTTACTAATTTGTATTGAGCTTGCAGTCCATCAAGGGAGGGAGTTTTGAGCGGTGGCTACTTTACAACACACAGGGACCATGGAGAACAAAATTAGCCACCCTCCAGAAGGAAGGACCGTGTCAGCACCAATTCAGAGATGATTTGAGGATCTACATCTGAGTGACCCAAAACTATTGTTAATTGTTAAGGCACTTGAATGCATTTTAAAGATTTAACTCTTGAGTTTTAGTGTCACTTTAAGATTGCATATAATATGAGTGTGCCTCATTTTATATGATGATGTATGCCTGATAGGCTGTTTACCTTTGGGGTGGGTCTGAGCTCTATGTCAGGACTACAACACTGAGCTCTATGAGTTGCCTCGATGTCTTCCCCCGTTTTTGTTGTTTTTTCAACACAGATTTATTGTTAGTTGTTACCTTACCAAGGGGTTGTACTGTTTACTAATTTATGCCTTCGAGTGGGTTTTGGGGTAGTTGAATACCTCTCTGGAACTCCTTGGCAGGACAGGCACTTAGGCTACGTTCATGTTATAATTCCGGGTTATATTCATAATGGTTAAGTGACAGTTGTTAAGCTGGAGAGTCACATTTACACTACTTCATTAAAGCTCTGTCCTTGCCCATTCCTGCTAGGATTGTTTCAGTGTTATGAATGGGCAAGGCTCCCTTAGCTAATGATTGTCTAATGCCTATGTTTCTCAGCAGTCATATATAATGAACATCTTATTATTTGTTCCCATTATTCTTTAAAAGATGAACTTAGATGGTAATTATTACAATGTTTACAGGTTTATATCATTAACTTGTATAATATACGTGGCATATTGTATTGGATCAACATTTAAGTGAGTAAAGCATTTTTGACCTTTTATTTTTCATAGTGTAAGAAGTTTAGGCAAGCATTAACCCCACAACGCAAAGCTATCCTTGAAGCTAAAATGTGTGCCAGCGAACTCTTCAGAGGTAAAAAGAAATCTTACCCAGCAAGGTAAGTAATAATATCTGTGTAGTAATAACACAAACTACATGTACAAATTACAAATTAATGGGTAGTAGTGGAAATAATTGAACATCTTCTCTGTCTTTCTTCAAAGTCTTTCTCCTTCATAGTTTTGCGCTTAGCTTTTTGCATCATCAATGCTGATTGGTTAATTAAACGGCTCTAGTCAATCTGTGCTTTAGTGCTGAGAATAGGTTTGAACATCTGTCACGTTTTTATTGCAATCTCCGGGGAGATATACCATCATTTTCTGTACTATTATACCAGGAATAGAAATGAAAAGGTGTTCCCAAGATTGAAAGACACAGAAGCATTTAAAACTAGAGGTGCACCGAAATTACATTTTGAGAACGAAACCAAAACTAAAATAAAAAATTCTAACCGTTTTAATGTTTTTGTTTTTTTTAGCATATATATATTTTTATTGAAGAGTATATAATACAGAACTAAGAAAGATAGATATGTCTGTCCAAATATTTTCAAAATGTCACAATATATACTGTAAGTGAACAGTACAAAATGAGATGTATAAAACATGGATTTCACAAGAAGTGACATAAAGCAATCTATCTCAAAATAAATGATTAAAAACAGATAGAAAATGAGAGAAAATAACTGGAGGAGGATTGACGACAATATCTAGCGTGAGAGTTCCTGGCATATCAATAAGGTCAAAAGTTTGCAGAGAGACAGAGGTGAAAGAAGTGGAAGGTTGGAGATTCAAAGGACATCAAGGTCACCCAACTTCCCTGATACTTTTGCTTCTAAGAACCATTTAGATGTTGGCATATCGTCACAAGGTCTTTTAATTGATCTAAGAGAGAGTTTGGAGACCAGTAAAGGGGACCAGGTATCAAAATATAATTTTGTTATATCTTGATTTAAATTTGGTGTCTACTTTATCTAAGAGCATTAAGCGAAAAAGTAAGATTACTGAATCTGAGAGTGAAGGTGGATCTGTGTGTAACTAAGTGTCAAGATAGTATTTTTAGAAACAGTAATGCATAAATGTTCCCATTGGGGAAAGGGATGGTGAGGACATTCTTGAAAGAATTATCGAGGTATGGAGGAGATTTGGTGAAAGAGTCCAGGACCTGTGGGATTTAGCATTCATATATAAGAGGATGGTGGTCCAGAAAAATTGTATAGAGGAACATGACCACAATAAATGAGTGATGTCTGGTGTGGGAATGTCAAATTTAGGGCAGGACGTCAACCAATCGAGGGGGGGCAGTCTTAGAGACAATATTAAAAGCACCATATGCTCCATGAACCAGTTTGAAATGGATTTCCCTCTAAATTTCCTAAGTCTCCGCCATCCCTAAATGATGGTTGAGAAAGCGTCATCGGGAGGGACCAGTAAGAAATCAACCAATTTTTGGATATCATTTAGTGGAATTTTGGATTTTGGAAGAACGGAGTAAGTGGCATAGACAGTATATGAAAGGGGTAGTTTAAGTCAAGTTTTAGTTTGTGTTTAAGTCAAGAGTAGGAGGATTCCTCATGAGGCCGGGATAAGTTGAGGGATATAAAGTGTCGAATTTGTGCATATTGTAGGAAGTGGGAGGATGGTATGTTATATGACCTACAGAGGGTGTTACATTTTTTTAAAATATTTTTTTTTTCTAAACTTTTAAAAAATGTTTATATTTTATTTATATATGCATCTTTTTAATTTCATTTTTAATAAAAAAATGTTTTTTAACTTTACTGCTGGGGGCTTCGGTGAAATATCAGGGGTCTAAACAGACTCCTGATATTTCCCTTTTACAATAAAAAAAGAGATTGAGTCCTTAATCTCTTTTTCTGCAGTCCCAGCACTGAATGAACCGGAAGCCTCTATGTTCATTCCTAAATTGTGGATATAGTATCAGTTATGTCCACAATCATGAATGAATAGGAAATTATGTATATTGCTTCCCATTCATTCATAACTGGTATATAGTAACTCATACCACGTCCAGTTATTTACAAACATCACTGATTGCTGATTGTATTCCGCTCTCCATCCTGGATTGGCTCTCACAGGAGGCTGAGCGGGCGGTGCGGGGAGGAGAGCTCAGTCTCATTTGACTGCTGACTCCTCCCCCTCACCACCAGCCCGGCCTCCCGTGACAGCTGACAGCTGTCTCTGCCCCCATACCACTCGCTCACATCTCTCTCCTCCCCCGCCCCGCTCAGCCTTCTGGCAGTTTCTCTCATCCACACTGGACACTGCATGGTGTCAGAGGGGGGACATAGAGCAGCACACAGCGGGGAGGAGAGAAATTAAGCATGCACCGCAATTTCGGCCGAAAGATTGCACTTTTGGCATTTATCCAAACTGACAATTTAGGCTGATATGTTTTGTCAGCCGAAATTTCAATGCATCACTATTTAGAACCACAGAGAATTCAGAAGACGTCCCCACTCCTTTTCCCCATTACTAAAAGAGAGGTTTGACATGATGAGGATAAATACAGATTCAGCAATGAGAGTGTAGTTACCCTTTAATAGCACTTAACATAGTAAAATGCAACATACTAAATCCCTTCCTTGGTCCACCATTCAACCTCCACCCTCCTCATATGTTTGCAAAGTCTCATTTACTTTGCCATGCTCTGTCCCTATTTGGGTCTATCATTTAATGTGTTATATGGATAATTAAGAGAAGTAAGTATTTTTTGGACTTCAAGATCATAGTGCACTAGAGACTGTGCATCAAGGACCCCAACACATTATCATTATTTTTGTGAGCAATAAACCTAATTCTCTCCAATGTTATGCTACACATATCTTGCTGTTACAAAATTCATATCTTGCAATTTCTTAAAGTTTTTATTTAATTCTTTCTAGTGTTCCAAAGCCATTCCAGGGGGATTATGTGGGCATACAGAATAACCCCAAACTTCAAAAACTGAGTACAGCTGTTCCTGGTAAAATAGAAGTAGCTGCAAACGTCCAAAGAATCAGTAAAACTGATGGCAAGGTATATCTTGTTTGTTCTCAGTGGCCAGTAGATTTCTTTTCTAGCTAATTCCTACATTTACAACACAATTAGTATTATGTTTATGACAGATACAGTATGGAAAATAAGCAGCTATTAATATTACTATAGAATGGGTGAAATGGATTATACTGAAAATAGTTGAAAGAATTTTAATTTGTTATGTGACATGCCTGAATTCTGTTTGCTGTTATTAGCTGTTTTTCAGCAGAATTCACAGGTTAGTCTATGTTGACTTGCTTTAATTTTTGAGCTTTGCTTTTGAAGACGTTGTTTGTGTATCAGTTCCAATCACTGGACCTTTATCAGTGCTTGGATATATAATACTGTCAATATGTTAATTTGGGATTTAAGGCCAAGAAGACTGTTCATTGTTGGTGACCATTTAATGGTAGGAATAGATAGTTAATATTAGGGATGCACCGATACCGCGTTTTTGGTAACAAGTACTGATATTTTTTTTTCTGGCACTCACCAATACCGATACTGGAAGTCCCATTAAGGAAGCCAGGCGGCGTGTAATGACTCACCACCTGGCTTTCTGATTAGCCGGAAGGCTGGGCGGCGTGTAAAGACCCGCCACCCGGCTTCCCGATTAGCAGGGAAGCCGCCTCCATGCTTCTCGTCACTTGGTGACAAAGCATGGAACCGGCTTTCTGGCCCATCATTACACAATCATTACCAATCAGGAAACTGGGCAGCGAGTCATTACACGTTGCCCGGCTTCCTGGCTCCATGCTCCCTCATGGGAAGCCGACTCCATGCTCCCTCGTGTAATGACTCGCTGCCCGGCTTACTGATACTGGAAGCTTAAGTATCGGGCTAGGTATCGGAAAATTATGGTGAGTACTCGCCCAAATATTCGGCATCGGCACCGATACTAGTATCGGTATCGGTGCATTCCTAGTTAATATGAATGTTTTCAATGGATAAATGCTTTATTGAGCAGAAAATGTAGTTTATCACAAACTCCAAAGATGGCATAACATAAGTACAAATTAAAACGGAAGAAAACTCTCACTTCCAACAGCAAATAAACCTCTAAACCAACTGTTTTTTTTGTAAATTTCTTTTAAATTGTCAATATGGAAATATTATATAGTAAACACTGCCCCTGCTTCTCCTGAAGCAGGAACCATTTTGATTTTGGCTGAGTAGCCTTTTCCTTTGTTCATACTTCCGCCCACAGTGGACATCATTCAAAAGTCCTGCACGCATGGGGAAGAACAGAGCTAAGCCTTGGTGGTAATTGTGTGCAAGTGTGTGAGTACTGATGCCTGTGATCATCCTGGCAAGGTCTGTGAGTATGCTGGAAAGGAAGGCCAACTGAGCATACACAGCTTTACGTCAGATGCCAGGGAATCAAGAAAACTCTGCAAAGGGAGAACTTTGGAAGGCCATACAAGTATTGATAGCATGCATTTATACTGATCTGTTATTTGGGAAAAGTTCCCAAAGAGAGTTTACGGTAGTTCTTTAGGAAATCTTTTGTATAATATTCTGACTTTTTTCACTTGAAAGGTTAGTCCTCCCAGGAAAGGCTTGGATAGATTCTGGTTGATTGAACCACCCAGTGACTTCTTATACCTTCTAAAGGCTACAGTGGGGAGACCCCATGCTTGAGCTCCTAGCTCTATCACACAGTCTCTCCCCTGCTGATGGAGCAGCAGGAGTCTCAGGTTGATTGACCTGGGAACTGTGGTGCAGAAATTCTTTGGAGATACACAGAAGTCTCTTGCTGATTTATAATGCTTGCATCTTCAAAACTAAAATATCAGATTTGGGTAGATGGCTCAGTTAACCGAGACAGCCTAATGAATGTCTTTTTTTGAATTACAGGGAACTGCCACCATATTTCTAATGACGAAAAGTCACCTTGCTCTTGCGGATTCTAAAGGACAAGTAAAGGCATTAGTGAAGTTGGATGAGATTGCCAGTGTTTCTGCTAGCAAGTTCAATGATGGCATCTTTTTTATTCAGCTCACTCCGGTATTATTTTTACATGTGTTGTATGTTATCAAAACCACTTCCAAGACTCTAGGCCACCAAACTGTACATTACCAATATGCATAGTGCGTTTATCATTTCAGGAAATGTTTGAAAAAATAATTAACATATGTGTTATTGACATAACACATGCACACAGGGTGCTATTTAGTGGTGTTTGAAAATTGTCATGGCCATTTTGTCTTTAAATGTCTTAAGACGGTCTGTTTTACCAACACCAACTATTCACACAGATTCCACGTTAGTTGGAATCTTAGTAATAGCCCACAGCACTTTCCATTATGAAGCCCTCCTAATTCTGGGACAATGCACACAGCTCTTATTTGAGGAATTTTATCAAATAAAGACCAGTTTTTATTGGGTAATCCAACATAAAGATAGAATAAAATACAGATTTAAGGCACTGCAACTTTCATACACAAGAGTGCTGGGGTGGTGCATTGCACTGTTTTTACTTTTTTGACAAGCTACCTAGACTTTAGGTGCGCTGCATAAAAATGCACATATGCTGCATTTTTACACAACTCACACACCGCACATGTATGGTGTGAACAGGGCACATAAAGAACAATTGTTTTTTTTTGTGCACCTGAGTCTGTGTTGATCAATGCTGATAAATGAAGCTCAACAGGCCTCATGTGAATGAGCTCTTAGGCTCTGTTCACACCTTGGTGCTTAGTCGCTCAAAGCTAAGCACAACAAATTGTTCAAGACAGGGAATCCAATTAATTTCTACGGCCCCTGTTCACACCTGAGAGTTTTGTTGCACACAGTTTCCCACTGAAGTCTATGGGACCAAAAACCACTGTAATCTGCTAAAAAGTAGCTCATGTACTTTGTCCAACTACTGCTTGCAACAAAATACTCAGGTGTGAACAGAGGCCATAGGAATGAATGGGATTCCTTGTCTTGAGCATTTTGTTGCGCTTACCTTTGAGCAACAAAACCCCTAGGTGTGAACGGGAACTTACTGTCAGAAGCACAAGGCCTGGGGTATTCTTACATAGGAGATATATGGCTGTAAGCAGAAGAGTGTCTAGGCACTTTCACATAACAGGAAGTGCATTGCTATTTTGCAGGAGGAGTTGAAGACAAACAGTATACCCTATTGCTTAGGGTACTGCTTGGACAAAATTTGACATTTCTAAATGTTACCCAAAACACAACGAATCTTGACTTTTTGAGTTCAGCTCCACTTTAACATGTCAGTTCATGTACACAACAATTTGGAATATTACAAATGTCAATTTTTTAGGTTTCAGTTCCCTCTTTTGCTTGCATTAACCCTAATGCTTAGGTCAATAATAGTTTGTTTGGTTTGGAACTATTTGCTAATTTTATCTATTACTATGTTTATTACTCATAGAAGAAAATGCATACGTGAAACGCCTTTTTGTGTTGCAGACCGCCACGCCAGGTGGAAAGGGAGTAAGTGACATCTTATTAACCAGTGAGCATGTAATAGAAATCCTGACTAGACTACACCAAGCAGTACTGGAATTAACACAAAAGAAGCTGAACCTGCAGATTACTGATCAGTATGTATTCCATTTTGTATATGACTCGTATACATATATAATATATTATATTTACCATGGAAGGAGTCAGTCAGTCTGGCAGCACATGCTAAAATGTCAGAGGGTCATCAAATAATTTTTGTTGTAGGATGTTGTTAAAGGGCAGGTATAGTGCATTTCCAGTGAGTGGATATTTTGAGTTATTATTCTTTTCTATTACCATAAAGTGCTTTGTGATATGACTTTTACATTTTTAAAAGATTGCTCGTAAAAATGTATTATATTAAATATATAGCTATGAAGATTATCCACTAGATGGATCACTCGGGGACTTAATGCAGTTAGGCACTCTTAACTGTTGAGAAAAAGGAGTGTTTTTATTTTAAAGTGGTGAGCGTCTCATATACTTGCCCTGTAAGGAGCAGTAAAGCACAATCATTATGTAGCATTGAAGTAGGAAGCAAAGCCTATGTTTGTAAGCATCAAATATGGCTGCTGTCATGTTCATATACACCAGGGACGTGCGGTCAGTGGAGGCAGGTGAGGTAGAGCCTCACCTAGAATTATGGAGGAAAAAGCTGTCAGCTTAATGTCTGAAGCTGACAGCTTTTTCTCCATTCAGATTGGCATATGACAGGTTACACAGCAGGCAAATCCTCCCCGCTGTGTAACCTGTCACCGAGCCTCAGCGTTGAGGAGCATGTGAGGGACAGGGAGGCTCCTCCCTTCCTCCTTTACACTAGCTTTGGGACTGGTTGGGGGTGGGGCTTCGGATGGTGAGGGCGGAGCTTCGAACAGCAGGAGGTGGGGCTTCAGCCGGCGGGGCTTTGGTCGGGGGGGCTGGGGAATGCCTCACCCCGAGCAAGAGGTACCGCACGTCACTGATGTACACTACCTGGACGAAAAAAGTCACCACCTAGATTTAGCAAAGCAAATCTGGTAAGAAGAGCTATGGGGGTTGCTTCAGTGGGTCAGGTCTAGACTCAGCAATGTTATGTGCCCAAAAAATGAGGTCAGCTGTCTACATGAATATACTGAATGACCAGGTTTTTTCATCAATGGATTCTTCCTTCCTTGATGGCACGGGTATATTCCAAGATGACAATGCCAGGATTCATCGGGCTTAAATTGTGAGAGAGTCCAACTCTCCCATCATCATTACAAGATCTTGGTGTAAAATGTATGCAACTCTGGATGTAAATAAATGTTGTCACATTGCATACGTTTATCGTATTGATGCCACAGTGGATGCGTGCTGTAATCAAAGCTAAAGGCATTCCATCAAAATATTACAATGTGACTTTTTTTGGCCAGGCAGTTTATATTCTCAAACTAAAGCCCACATCTAAGCTCCATGCCCCCCTGACCCCCCTCCAACTTGCCTATTTTATGATTTGTCTTTATACTTAACTTTTCCCAAATCTTTAGGTTTGTCATGTAACATACATAGTTCTCTGCTACTGCAGGCAGCCCTGGATGATACATAGAGCAGCACTGAAGTAATGATGTCAGTACTACTCTCTCACTTCAAAAAGGGCGTAGTAGCCTCAAAGGCAGGTCCATGGCACCCTGCACTAACAGTACATCCTCAGGCTTCTGCTTGCTTTTGCCACAAGATGTCCTCAGTCTTCCGGGTTGAATGGCACCCAGCATCAATTTAACCTGGAAGACTGAGGACATCTTGAGGCAAAAGCAATTACTGTGGAGGACAGCACCAGAGAGGAGGCGAGTATTGCAGCCTGAGCTGCTTTTTATTTTATCAAGGCATGGGCTCCTTTTATAAAAAACATTTTTTTAATAAAACAACATTTGGGCTTCAAATATAGGTAATAATATTAATTAGATTATTTACTTCAAAGTGGAACAGCCGGCAGGGATTAAACAGCATGGATGGCAGAATCTGTTCAATTTTTCTTGTTCAGTCCGCTGGCTAGCCTGGCCAGCTGTACTGCACTTTGCACTCCGCACTCCTTTATTGATATGCTTCATAATATTTTTTATATCCGTTGTATAATCATTTATTCATTCCCTGTCTAGGTTTTCTGTGAAATTCAAGAAGGACCCAGTAGCCGTTAAATTTGTTGAAACTTCTGTGCAGAATGGCAAAGGGCCAGTGTTCAAGAAGAAAGGAAGCCAAATGGTGGAAGTGTATGTGTAGTGAGAATTGTGCTGCTAGTTGCTTGAGAAAGTTTTACCCTAAGGAATCAATGGACTGAAAGCTGAAAGGTTTCCATGCTTCTGAAAAATCATGGGTCAGAGGAATATCTACATTATCCGGAGAAATGAACAAATGAGAAGTTTGAGTGTGAGAAGCAACAACGTTTCCTGGTGTTCTTGCTCAGGATTTACTTTGTTGATTTAAAGGACTGTTAAACCCATTTGCAGAAATGGCTTATTCCCATCTTAATTGTCTTTTGAAACAGGCGAACATGTACATGTAAATTACACAGTTAAGATGGTCGATAAAAAAACATTGAAGAGAATTTCTCACAACTGTTAAATTGCATGTTTCAATAGACAACTTAGCTGTGAAGCAAGAAAAGTTTTCATGTGGGCTGAAAAACCCTTTCAAAATATTCTATTTCTTACTGCACACTAATACGTTTGGACTTTGGATATTTTCAGAGAAATAAATCATTAAACTTATGTAAAAAAAAAAAACAATGCTAAAAGCTTTACAGAGATTTTAATTTAACTGTGTTTGTTGCCCTCTGCAAATATAACGATATGGATTCTACTTTAATATGTTTTCTTGCTTGATTTATTGCTGTGACCCACTAATAGAATTGAATAATGGTACCTTTAAAGAGAAGCACAAGCACCTTCAGTTTGCTAGGTGTTAATATGTTTATTTTAACTTTATTCAATCATAAAGTCAAAAAGAAACCCAAATACCAATACAGTATGTGTATGTAGAAATGGTCGTCATGTTGTACTATGATTTGCCAGGATAGGATATTCCAATCCTCACCAATGAGACATTTCATACTAAATAATTGTGACTAAGCACGGAATGAATATATGAAGGTTTGGCAATCTTTCTTGTAAATGCAGTGTATTCTGGGTGTGAAATCCACTGGACCATAATACCATCTGTACGTGTATAAACATAAATTGTTCCATTGCACATAGAGCAATATGAATGTGGTACCCACAAGCACAAATTCTGTGTCAAGTACAGATTTGTCAGATTTCTTTGTAACCCATGAACATCCCCCTTGAGATTAAAGATTGTGTTATCAATAAATACTAAAAGTGCAATTATGTGTTTTTTTCCAGCTTATGCTGTAGCCTCTCTTTAGTTGCTATGAAGTTACTCCTGTCTGCAGGAGGATCTCAGCCTAGGCAAGGTCACTGGAGCTCAGAGACATTAAATGTACTGCTTTTTTAGGAATCGTGTTATGTCAGGAGTTGAACTTTAACCTTTTTATCTTTTGATGCCTTTTCTGACCTACTGAAAATACTGTATGTGAGTTCAATCCTTCAACTTCATGAATCATTGAGCCAAAGACCCAGAACAAGAATACAAGAACACCAAATTTACTTGCGGCCTACTTCATTAAGTTCAGTAAGATTCCACCAAGTTCAGTCACCATTTGGACATACTGTATTATACATAGAGTAATCACAAGACACCCAGGGCCATACAGTAAGCCCAAGGTGTAATTGTTTGGCTGATTTTTGTTGTGAGTTGTTAGGAAATTATTTCCTGCAATAATAAGTTTATACTCAAACATGCACCAAAAAATGTAAGTTTGAAGATAGGCAAACCTAAGAGCTTTAATGGTTGGATCATTCCCAGTCTAAATACCAACATCTGATGGTTGGATCATTGCCTGTCTAAATACCAACATCTGATGGTTGGATCATTCCCAGTCTAAATACCAACATCTGATGGTTGGATCATTTCCAGTCTAAATACCAACATCTGATGGTTGGACCATTCCCAGTCTAAATGCCAACATTTGATGCCCGAGTCTAATAAGTGAAGCAAGTGGACCTACCATCACTTTACAAAATGCCGCTCTTAAAACATTATTATGTAAAGATTGACAGGTCAACGTTGAAAGCAGAGGTTAAAACGTCTCATATAGTGAAAGAATGAAAAATGCTACTAAATTACCAACAAACAATAATATTTAATACCAATTCTGGAAATTGTTGGCTGCAAAAGTATTATTATTACATTTAGAAACTAAGCATTTCATTGGGTTGTAAAATCTTGGCACAAATCTGTATATTTAAGAAGTAATTCATATAAAAATATTGTTTTACAAAATACAGTTTTATTTGGTGAGCACAAAGTGCAGTTTTATTGACCAATTCTAATAACGGTGCAGTCACAAGGGTGACCTCTTAGCCAATCAAGTGTCGTAGTTTGGCATTCAGCTCTCTCTCATTTGCTAACAAGTCTCCACTGTGCTTTTTGTAGGCTTCAAACTCTCTCCTCAACAGTTCTAACTGCTTCTCGCTGTCGTCCAGTCTTGTATTCAGTTCCTGCACTCTGGAATCAGCATTCACAGCTGTCACTTCTCTCTGATATCGCTCTTTTGCTTCGCGCCATGCCTTTTCTGTACCTTGCAGGCGATTACTTAGTTCTGATAGGTCTTTCTGATGCTCCTGTAAAGTTCGGCCCCTCTCCATGCACAACTGCAGAAGTTCCTTCTTCTCTTTATTCAGCTCTTCAGCTTTTCCTTCAGCTTCCACCTGCTCTGTTTTTCTAATCTCCATCAAATTGGACAACTCTTCCTTTAGTTGTTGGCAGATTTCTTCTGATTCCTATAAGTAAAATGCATCAGATATGATATTACATTTTGTCATCTGCATTAAATTCTGGATTTGATACAAAACTTTTAGGGATGAGCTTCGGGTTCAGGTCGATCATGAGCACAAGCTGTTTGAACTTCGACAAAAGAGCAAACAATTTGGCCAGTTTGGCCTTCTGTGGAACCTCCATCTGTGTCCTAGCAACCAATGACACTATGTGTCCCACACAGCGTCAACGATTGCTAGGATGTGATCAGCTGGGCTACACATTATCCTGGGTTGCTAGAATGCAGGTGGGTGCACCATGACAACCTATGAGGCTACCAGCATCTTAACAACCAATGACACTGTGCACCCTGCACCGGGATGGGTTTGCTTGGACGTTTGCCAAAACCGAATTGCTGGCGGAGTTCAGGCAATATCCAAGTGAATCGAACCTAAGCCTATTTGCTCATAACTAAAGACTACTTGGTGTCCTTACATCTAATGCAAGTGTGTGGAACCTGCATTAGATGTTATGGCGTCTGTGATTCTTAGACCACCACACTGAAAAGGAGAATAGGCTGTGGGTCTACAACCCCGAGGGAACCGGCAGAGCAGTTTAGGTAAGTTAAATAGCTGTTTTCTGTCCCCTAGGCATAAATAAGCATTTAACCTTTGCAGTGCCGGGGTAGCTCCAATGCAAGGCTAGGTTTTTGGTGTACCCGCAAAAAGGCTTTAAATGAAAGCTGATTAGCTGCTATAGCTTATAGCGCTTTTCATATAGTAAATGCACTTAATAATTTTTGAGAACCTTATATTTTTATGCAAAAAAAATGTAATCTACTCAAATGGAAATCCCCCCATCCACCCACGTTATCCATGTGGATACATTTAGTTAATTCTGCTTTCCCTCTTACAAACTGACCTGTGAAAACAGCGACTGCCCATTCTTTTAGGAAAATATGGGGTTTATGGGTCTCTTCTCCCCATACTATAGCTGACTATCCTGCTAGACTCTGATGTTAGAATAATTATATGTACACTAGGGATGAGCTCAAGTTCGGACTGAACCTGGTCTGAACCTGAGCACCTCCCTATATACAGAAGAAAGTTCCTTCTGTGCTGCCCAATCCACTGTGAGCGTGGAATTCCACGCCTGCAGCTTGACATAAGCAAAGGGGCGGGGGATGCAGTGATGTCACTGACCTTATATGGCTATGTGGCCATATAAGGTAAATTACATCAAAACAAGCATCCCGCCCCTTTGTTTACATGAGGAATGCCCAACCTGCAGCTGATTGGGTGGCAGTGCCTATGGCCCTTCCTTGTTCGGAGGAGCTTAAAGTGACATTAAACCCTCAGATTTTTTTAACATAAAACAATACTGTAATGTGTACCTTACTGTAATCCATGGTTGTTTCCCTTCTCTTTGCTGCTCTTCCTTTTAAATCTGTATCTCTTCTCATGCTTGGGGAGAACTTCCCTTTGCAGCTGAATGCCTCTTCCTGTAGTGCTGGCTCAGGTTTTGAACCTGCACACAGACACCATGTATCCATTCCAGAGACAAGGCAGTCTGCTGCAAAACAGAAGTTCTGCCCAGTATGAGAAGAGATACGGATTTAAAAAGAAGAGCAGCAAAGAGAAGGGAAACAACCATGGATTACAGTAAGGCACACATTACAGTATTGTTTTATGTTAAAAAAATCTGAGGGTTTAATGTCACTTTAAGTTCGAACCGTGTCCTATTTGGACCTCAACTGTATACAAAATCGGATGTATGATTGATTTCAAAATATGTGTATTGTCATACCACAAATAAGCCCATAACTGGACCTGTGTCCCTTGGCCTCTGCTGCTGTTAGGGGACCTTTTCTCACTTGTTGTTGTTATTATTGTTTTGTTATTTATGCAAACAATGAAAATCATATTTCAAAAAGTATTTTTAGGGAAAGGGCAAAAAGGAACTGATAATATATTTCTCCCTCAGATTGTCTGTCACTGTAATGATTGGACACTACATGAAGTGACAACCTGTCAATCTTTCCATTACATAAAGAGGGCATAGACTGTAAGAGGCCACAGTTGTATCTCTGGTCAATATGGGACAGGAAACAACTGTGACAACACATATGAGAAATAATTGCAGCTGACAGAAGATGGAAAATCTAATGAGCTTTCCTATAGCATAGAGTGCATTTCAGGCATGACAACAAAGTCCCATTTAGACTTCAGATTATATCTCTGAGCCAATTTATCTTCATTTCCAGCTATCAATAATTTAGTTGCTTTAAGCTGTAGCTGTAACTCGCGGTATACTGAGCTTTGGGTCACGGGAGAACGCTAGTTTCCTTTAGGAGAACTATGGGGAAAAGCTTTGACACAATAGTTCTCCTTTAATTACAGTGTGACTGCTCCCATAACTGTTCTTCTCCAATGGCTGTCACTGCTATTCTATGAAAATAGGTGCATGCATAGGAATTTATCTATACTAGACCTTTCTTTACAACAATCACTAGCACTGTTTATTGCTTCAATATGTATGCTGGATGTATATTATTGATCATACTTGTCTCCTGTGTGGGCACAGGCAGGTAAGGAGTCAGGGAAGCCCAAGGCTCTGCAGTACACTGTCTCTGGACACTTACCCACATCATGGCAGCTCAAAGGTGTCCAGTGCCTATGTTAGACTTCTATATGCTGCCCTGTTTCAAACATCTCTTTAACATGAGCTTTAACAAGATTAAACAACCACATTCATAGAAAGTGCAGTAATAAAGTGACTCTTTGAAAATGCGACTTGCCTAGTTGTGTTTAGCTTACTTTTAAGTCACAGACCCAGAACAAGCATACTATAAATCAGTGGTTCTCAAGCTCTGTAACCTCAGGACCCACATTTGTCCTTTGTCATTAAGTCACGACCCGAGTCTGCAATGTCTGCACTGCAATGAAACGCACAGCATAAGGGTACTGCGCGTTCCGGTGCGGGCGTACGAACTGTGGGTGGGAGGTACGTTCGGGGTGTCATTCAAATGAATTGCTACGCACCTCCCGCACCAGAATGCGCAGTAAGTGTGATTGCGTAGTACAGTGTGAACAGGCCCTCAAAAACACTGACATACATACACAAACACATTCTCAAATACACATGCACACTCCAAAAAATGTATATATTTTTAAAAACATTCCACCCAAACATTTTAAGAAAAAAGTCCACCAGTCTCCCTATCTTACAAGAACTGCAGTGGATCCTCAGCCTGGAGTCCAGTGTGGGCTGCTTTGCTATGACAGAGCTCCATCCATACGTGCATTGCTTGTACAGTTCCCTTGTGTGCCCTGTAGAGGTGCCGGGAGCCAGAATGTGACGTCACTCCGGTCCAGGCACCACTACAGGACACGTGAGAGAGGTGTAAGCAATGCACGTATGAATGGAGCTCCCTCGCGGCCATAACCCCAGCCCACCCCACCTCAAGCTGACAGCATATTTTGAATGGCTGCTTAGCACGAGAACTGACAGTGCTGCGCTAGGGGAGGCAGAGGAGCCTCTTACCTAGAAAAGTGGAAGGCATGCGGCGACCCATTGAACACGGGCTCGTGACCCACTTTTGGGTCACGATACACCAGTTGAGAACCAAGGCTACAAATGATAGTGATGCACTGATACCTAGTACAGTACTCGGTACAAGTACAGATACTAGAGAAAAATTCAAAAGTTAGGAGGCAGCTGTCATTTTTAAGGAGCACACGGAGCTCCTGGGATTTGTACATCTCTGTTTAACCTCCCTGGCGGTCTGATTATTTATTTTATTTTTTTTTCTGTTTTTTATTCCGTTTAAAAAAAATAATTTTTGTTTAAAAAAAATATTTTTACTTTTAAAATTCCCGCCAGTTCCGCCCCCTTGCGAAGCGGACGCTCGCAAGGGATGGAACCCGGATGCCGGCAATGGCCGAAGGACACAGCGCGGCTCGAGGGACAAGCTGAGTAACGCTACGCTGTAATCCCGAGTGTGGTTCGGGGTTACCGCTTATGGTACTGAAAATTAACCCCGAGCCACACTCAGGATTACCGCCAGGGAGGTTAATGTACGATTTTGTTTTTATAAATATAAAAGGGATGCACTGATACCAGTTTTGCGAGTACAAGTACCGATACTTGCCCAAGTACTTACAAGTACGAGTACTGATACACGTTTGTTTATTATCATGTGACAGTTTTTCTAAAACAATAGAGACTAATGATTTCAGGACAGTGGCGGAGCGCCAGAGCCCGGTCACAGCTGCAACTGCTGCAACTCTGATAGTTCTCGTGAAAATGCCAAGTATCTGCACTGGTACTCGAAAAGTATCGGTGCATCCCTAATAAATGAGTGTGAGAAAAGCATCAGAATACCTTATTTCTATACTTGTTCCAGGTCAAACATTCAGAAAGCAATGAAACAACATCAGCATGGCAGGCAGAGAATTTGCATTCTCAAAGGAGAAGTCAGCAATGACAGCTCCCATACTTTTCTTATGACAATCACTTGAATAAATTGCACTAACTTATACCCAAGAATGAATGACAGATATTCAGTGACCTTGGGATAAATATCCATGTGTAGCTATGCCTCAAGAAATAATGTCCAGTTTACCCCCACGTCTGGGTGGCTCTACTTTCTGAGTTCCTACTGGTCAGTCCCAGGAAGAATCAGCTGAATCATTTGTGGTATCATTGTGGTCTGATTGTGTGTCTGAAAAACAAGCACACATAGTCCAACAGCATGTACCACAAAAGAAGATGACAGCACACAGAGAGACAACAGCATTAGCTGTGATTATTGGCTGGAAGTCTCCATCGCTGACAGGTCTGTGCTCTCCCTCATTGCTCTATCTGCTGGACTTCCTCTGGCCCAGCGTCATCTCTATACAGTCATTGGGCTTTTTTTGTTATATTTTATTGTTGCCTGTCCCCCCTTTAGGCCCCTTTCACACTAAGCAACATACCTTACAAGCATATCCGCGCGGCCAGGACAGCGCGACTGTTCGGCGCGACGTTTCAGTGACGATAGCGCGACCTTCACCGTCGGGCTGCATTCAAATATTGAAAAATCGCGCGACATCCGCGGGGGAAAAAGGGTCCTGCTGACGCGACAGACGACATGGAGCTGTACATTAGAACAGCTCTATTGAATAACATTGGCCAGCGACTTCTCGCGTGGCAAAAATGCGCGAAATCGAGCGGCAATCCGCTCAGTGTGAATGGGGCCTTTCTGTGATGGCATGCTGCAACGTCAGGTGCATGCACTCCCAGCGCTCTCTCCGGGGTGCCATATTTTTACAGGCTGCCAATATCTACATATCATTTATTTAGAGCAAAAAAAATGATGTCATTCTCCTAGGATCTGCAATTTGCTGTGTCAGGGGAATATTTTTTTCTGATATTGTATTGCTGTCAGCTTTTTTATTCAGGGTGGGGGGCTGCAAGATACATGGACCTCCTTAAAGTGGAACTTTAAAAAAAAAAATGTGCAAACAGGCAGGGTATTTATTTCAGAAGAGGCTGGGGGGAATTCATAAAAACTGGAGCAGACAGAATCTGGAGCAGTTGCCCATAGTAACCAACCAGCTTCTTTCTTTAGTTTGGTCAGTTATGCTTTGAAAATGAAACAGAGACACTGATTGGTTGCCATGCACAGCTGCTCAAGATTCTGTCTGCTCCAGTTTTTATGAATTCCCCCCACTATGTCTTACCTGCTCATTTGGGATCCTCAGGACAATGTGCAGCAAGTTGTGAATGCATGGAAAAATATGTCATCGAAGTACAGCCAATCATGATGGCCAAAGATCCTGAACCTAAAACAAGATTGGGCAAAGATGTTGGAGCCAGCGAGGAGGCTTGCAGACATCACATCCCTTGAGGGGAGGCGAGTATAGTTCCGCTTTAGGAAACACTAAGGGCCTGTTCACACCATATGCCTCCTCTAACGCAGTACCAACACACGGATGAGGACACGTGCCTTGTGTCCTACGATGTCAGTGTGCTGAATAAGCGGACATGCAGCACTTATTTTCAGATCAGCCTGTGCGTGCTGCTGGTGTGAACAGGTCCTTCATTTTCCTCTAACTGACATATAAAGTGATATATGTTCTCCATCACCAGAGGAGTGAAGGGTTTGCTCTGCCTCTATACTTGCACTAACAGTAGTCTTTTTCTCTGTGCTCTGGCACCCCCTGCCTCTACTCACCTTCAGTCTTCCGGTCAGTAGGTGGAGCTGTTGCCTCTTGTCCTGGTTTTCCTCCAGCAGTGCCCCCTGTTCCAGGTCCGCCTCCTCCCTGTGGCGCTCCCCCTGCTGGCTGATCTGAATACTGGTCGCCTGTAGCTGGGTTCGCAGCTCCTCTATGATTCGCTCTGTCTCCAGCAGCTCGGGGTGGCGCTCTTCTCTCAGCCCCTCTATCATTCGCTCTGTCTCCAGCCGCTCGGAGTGGCGCTCTGCTCTCAGCCCCTCACACTCGGCCCGCAGCTCCTCGTTCTCCCGCTTGTACACATCCTTGAAGCGGATCATTTCCTGGTGGTTAGAGGCGAGGAGGCCGAAACGTTCTTCAAGCTGGTCCGCTCTCTTCCGCTCCGCCGCCAGCAGGTTCTCTGCCTCTGCAACTTTCTTCTCCAGCTCCTCGTTCATCCTCTCCAGGCCCTGACACCGCTGCCCCGTGTCGTCAGCCCTCCGCTTCAGTAGGCAGATGAGCTGTGACTGCTCGTCCAGCCGGGACCTCAGTAGGCCGTTCTCCGCTTTCTCGCCCCAGGTCTCCTTTCCCACCGGCATGTTGCTGGCCTGCAGTGATTGCAGTGAGCGAGCGGCTGACGTTTCCAAGGAGACAGTTGATGCTTGTGACTGCGGAGTGTTGGGCTGGAGGTTCACACATGCGCATTGACTCAGACAATACTTCTGATAGCATTTTAATTTACAATTGGGGGCTCATATGAGACCGACCTACACCATGACCAGCCATGTATCTGAGCTTTTCTAGGGTGAAGGAGGAAGGTAACCTCCAAGTGACCACAGTTATTCAGTCCCAGAGGCCAAGCAGATTTACAGGGATGGCAACCACAGGATTTCTCACATGAAACTTCCGTTGTCAGACCCTAAGCCACGGGTGGGCAACTCCAGCTGTTGTGGAACTACAAGTTCCATGAGGCATTGCAAGACTGACCATTGCAGGCATAACTCACAGAGGAATGTTGAAGTTTGTAGATAAAGCACAGCTGGAGGGCCAGAGTTGCCCACCCCTGGTCTAGGCCTTGGTAGGAGTACCCTTACACTTTAACCCTCAAGGCCTCAGTGGTTCCAGGTTCAAACAGTGAAGGTTGCGCTACTCCAGAGGCCTGCCTGACACAGGTCCTCTGAGTTACAGAAATACACCTCGGCAAAACTATCAACCACCTTCAAAGATCATCCATCTGCCCATGAACCACCATCACCTCCCCTGAACCGACTGCTGGTACGTTTCCCAAGGTATTGGCCATGCATGGAATAATTGCTTTGTCCTACATATTCTTTGATGCAGGGAGCCTTCTTGCACTAGACTGGCTAACTGCAGCAAATGAACCTACTTCACATGCATAGGACACACAATACACGGAGGAGTGTTCTGAAACTAAATTCTTTACTTAAAAGAGAAGTATTGGCAGAGTAAAATATACTCTTCTCAATACTTAACCGGTGCGGGACACTGCAGATGTCTCTCTATATCATAATCACTCAACTTACAGCTTCTGCTTGCACTACATATACATTTAAAAAAAAAAAAAGCTTTGACTACTTCTCTTTTAATAGATAGTAACAATGTTGGGTACTAAGGGTATTCTTCCAACAGGGAAAGAGATGAAGCCGTTCCAAGTAAATGGTGCAGTGGCTTTTTACAAACAGGTAAAGTGCTGAACTTGCATTAGTCCCATACAGTGAGTGAGGAGGGTTATTGCATTTGCCATGCCTACAGAGGCAACATGAATGTTCACGCCTTTATCCCAAGGTCAGGCCAGAGGCCCCAAATATTGCATTTAAGGCTCAGAATACAGGGGTCAGGAGTAATGCACAGAGTGTAGGGTTCAGAAGCAAGTAATGCTTAGAATGTATGGGTCAGGAGTATGTATTGCACAGAGTGCAGGAGTCAAAAGTAACGCACATAGTGCAAGGGTCAGGTGTATGTAACACACAGAATACAGGGGTTAGGAGTACTTAACGTACATAGTGCAGGTGCCAGGAGCAAGTAATGCACAAAGTGCAGGGATTGGGAGTATGTATTGCCCAGAGTGAAGGGATCAAGAGTAAGTAACGCACAGAGTGCAAGGGTCAGGGGTATATAACAGGACTCAGGGTAATGCCCAGAGTGTATAGGGGCCATCAGTAATTCATGCTTGATAGTGAATACACTGTTTCTGTACTGCCTGGGGAAAACTACCTGAAGTTCTTTTCAAATTTTCTTTCTGCACCTACTCTGTAACTGGTCAGTTATCTAAGACAGCCTTTCTCAACCTGAGTGCTGCTGCTCCCTGGGGTGCCTTCTGGCTTCCTTAGGGGTACCTTGAACGTTTCTCACAATGTTATGATAAATTATGCAAACGAGCATCCTCCCGTCACCCAAAGCTCAGTATATCGGGAGCTACAGCTCGCGGTATACTGAGACCGCCGCAGCCGGGACGGATCCCGACATTACTGTCTGGATCCACCCAGCTGCGTGATTGACAGCTGGCTTTGCCTATCTAGAGGCAGAGCCAGCTGTACCCGCCCCCTCCCCTGTCAGTTCTGCCAGTCAGCGCTGGAGGATCGGGGAGGGGGGGGATCTCTGCAGGGAGCCGTGAGTGACAGTCACGGCTCTCTGCAGGGACAGGATCGAGAAGTGAGCGAGCGACGGTATGTGTTCGCTCACTTCCCGATCTATTGAACCGACGTGACAGTTTCATTGTCACACGTCGGCTCGAACTATGAGGTTAAGTGATTTTCACTCACCTCAGAGTTCTCCTTTAAGCATATCACATGTTTGGCACACTGGCTGTACATCAGGCCGCACTTTTAACTTTGTTTACAAAAAATTCAATTTCAAGCATACACCTTATGAGTTGGATTTGGCACTCAGTCTTCAAAGGCTGATATTTTTAGTCTTCAGTGACGTACAAAGTGTATTTGGATGACCTAACTGCATATGACTCAACTCTGGAAACCTTATGACAAGTAGCTTAGAAATTGTTCTAAGACTAAAACTGAATAATCTTTTAAATGTTGCTGAAGCAAAGTCCACCGTCATTTCTGGGTCATATCATATCACAAGATGGACTATTATTGCCTGATCCTGAGCATGTGAAAGCTGTTATGCAGGTATCTTTGGTTTTACTTTATGAAATTCTAAATTTATTCCCATTCATGCCTCATTTGTGGAGCTATTGAGTGCATTGCTAAAGCACGGTCTGGTCAGAGACCACTCGGCACAGCTTTGGAACACTTAAATGGCTCATTGTGAACAGTCCGGCACTAGCACTATTTCAGGGACGTGCGGTCAGGTGAGGTAGAGCCTCACCTAGTATTATGGAGGAAAAATCTGTTAGCTTCAAGTCTGAAGCTGACAGCTTTTTCCCCATTCAGATCGGTGTGTTACAGGTTACACAGCAGGTAAAACCTCCCCGCTGTGTAACCTGTCATAGACGGAGCACTGCCCGTTAATTACAGGCAGCGCTGCATCCGGCTTTTGACAGGTAGTTGGGTTACATAGCAGCGGGCTTCACCACTGCTTGTGTAACCTAACATAGGGAGGCAAGAGCTGCCACAGCCTCTACTCTGTGTTAACGGCGTGAGCTCTGTGGATGGTTTGGACCAATAGCAAAGTGCTATTGGTCCAAGCTGTCCAATAAAAAAAAAAAAACACTGAGGACATCGATTTTTCATGCCTCAGCAGTGACGAGCAATGGAGGCTCCTCCCTCCCTCAAACTAGCTTGGTGACCGTTGTTTTTGCATCTAGGGTTCTTGAAGAAGCAAAGCGATGGTATTCTACTGTAAAAAAAAACAAAGCACTAGCATGCTTTTGAACATCAGAGAAATGGAGAACATACCGGTGGGTTTGGCAGTTTATCTTCAAACTGACCATAATCCACTGCTTACCACAAAGATACTGAGCAGGAAAACATTTATCCAGAGTCTTGTGAAACTCTATTGACCGTTTCATCAAGCTTTTGTTTTCAATTGTCTAATAAATTCCCCAAATCCTGGAAGTCTTGTTTTAGATCTTTTGTGATTTTGTTATTTGCCTTATTCCGGTTTTTTTCTAATAAACATGAATGTCCACTAGGAGCTATGTCCTTCCTTGGGATGTATCCCCCATGGTGAGTTTGCCAGCGTTACCTTTTGCCATCTGTTGGGTAAAGCAGCTGGTCTGGGTTTGATGGGGGCAATTGTGCCCTAGTGGCATACCTCCCAAAAGTCCCAGATTCAGACACAAGGCCCTGCGCTCTGTCCCGCAACACCCACTGCCCGGTGTTGTAGGACAGAAGAAAAGTCAGCTGAGATTATACAGCATTCGCCCTGGAGTTACATAGTTACATAGTATTTGAGGTTGAATAAAGACATACGTCCATCAAGTCCAACCTATTGTGTGTGGGTGTAAAGATCCTCGCGTCATCTCGTTTTTAGGAGTACTTGTACCCCTGTATATTACCGTTTCTCAGGAAATCGTCCACTCCGCATTATTAGTAGTTATTAAATCTAGGATGGCATTTTTTCTAGTTGGGACCTCCACCATCTGGTCCATAAAGTTGTCTCTCAACATGTTCAAAAATCGACCCTCCTTGCTTGAACTTGAGGTACGGCAGGCAGCACACTGTTCGACGCTCACGGTTCCGATGACAGATTACCCTGTCAGTCCACCTGATGATGGAGTCTCCCACCACCAGGATCTGCCTCTCCTGACCCTCCATCCTGCTCCCGTCCTCGCCGGAGCAGTCACTCACCCTCCGGATAGAGGATGCTTCCTGCTCCAGCAGAGTCCCCCCTGAACTGATGTCCCCAACATCCTGCAACTTGGCAAATTTATTGGGATGAATCAGATCAGAGTTCATTAAGTGTACTCAGTCATTGGAGGGGGAAGCTGATCAGATTCCCCAGAACTGCAGCCAATTGGGAGGTTCTAATACTGTCATGTAAATGTGCCAGACCTTTCATGATTGGCTGTAACTTCAGAATTTCTGAATGATAACAAGTTTGAAATGTCAGATTACATATACTGACTGCAGGACCAATGCTGTTTAGTACATTTCGACTGTCATATATATATATATATATCTCTGTACGCTTGTGGCAGTATTTTTTTTATTGATCCTTTAGGTATATGTAAGTCTCTCCTTCATTGAGACCATGCACAGCACACCATAGAACCCGCACAGCCCACCATGGAACCTGCACAGCTCATCTGAGACCCTGCTCAGCCCCCTGAGACCCCGCACAGCCTTCTGAAACCCAACACAGCTCATCTGAGACCCCACAGAGCTCATCTGAGACCCCTGACAGCCACCTAAGGCCCCACAAAGCCCTCCTGAGACCCCGCACAGCCACCTAAGATCCTGGAGACATCTGGCTAGCACGCTGGAGCAGCATAGAGTATGTACCTTCATATTATTCTGCATTGCTGGGATTTGTAGTCCTCTATAGCCGTTTGCCATTCGGCAGTGCTGTATAATGTATTGCTGAGATTCATAGTCCTCCCCAGCTGATGGTATTCTGCATTGCTGCTCAATGCATTGCTGTGAATTGTAGTCCTCTATAGCTGATGGTATTCTGCCCTGAGTGCTGGAAAGGTGCAAAGCATCTGCCACTCACTTTTATTTTGGTGTATTTTCTTGTCGTTTTAGTTTT